AAGAAGAAAGAAAAATACATACTTCAAATTAGAAAAGATATATGGTAAGAAAGAATAGATAGGAAGATAGGAAATACTAAATAGTCCATTTATAAAGGCCATTAAAGAAAGCAGATATACAAAACAAACTTTAATTTTTGTGTGTTTTTGGTGAAAATTTACAAAGATGTTGAGGCTCCTATTTAATCCTTTTCTGCACAGGTTGTTCAGTAACTAAGTTGATAACACTGACTAAGCTAAGCCATGTTGTATTCACCCAGGGAATCAGATAAGCAGAGACCTGATTCAAATTTTGCATGATTTCTTTTTTTTTTAATGCATGATTTCTTTAACTCTGTTGCGGTTCTCACGGTTTTCCTCTTAGTTTTACTTATGATATCACTAATTTTCTTTGGAGCTATGGTTACAATATTTTATGCAAACACAGCACACACAAAAAGCACGACGACGAATGTTTAAACACGTGCCCGGTATGTCGTCTGAACAAGAGCTGCACTTACACGGCAGCGTCACCTCTTTATGTGAAGGGATGCAAGACTCAGTCTCTGCCTGTGCAGGCTTTTTTCAAGTCGGGTATTTGGTTCAACTATTGAGCAAAATTATGAACACAGAGCAGATTCCTTTTTTTTTGAATTTCCGATTTCAGTAGTGAAAAGTTCCAGCTTGGAGCCGTTCCACAACTGAGTTATCACTGCATATATGAATATACATGCAGCACACTCAAATATGTACGTATGCTTACAAATATGAGTAGCCTTCAAAATGTACTTGGAAAAATTCTATTATCTTTTAATTCCATCTGTCCACCACTGTTCTGAAGCCCCTCATACGCTTATACATGCTTGCACATGCACTCACATATACCTCTGTACAGGTGGTGGGAAAGAATCTTAAACAATGAAGACATAGTGTTAGGTAGCAGAACAGGGACCAGGTTGTCCATCGGGCATGTGCCCATTCAGGCCCGGAGTAGGTCAGGGTGATGGTGATGGTGGTGGGTACACTTAAGTGGGTAGTAGTACACCTGGATTGGCCCAATGTAGGCCAGGAAGGCTTAATTCAGCCAATGGGGTCAACAAGCACCATCCACCACATCTCCCAGTGGAAGGGCCTGTGTTCAGTTAACTGTAAAACCTGAAACTTCTTCTATCCTTTATAAAAACTCACTTGAATAACAAACCACGCTTCGATATGAATTTCTTTCTTATGCGAAGACTAAATTTGACACCATAAATGTTAATAAGCACATGTAAATAATTAAATCTTAATTAAAAAAACCTGAATCTTAGCAACTATGACAAATTACCTTGCTTCAAGAATTGGTTGAATATCAGTGACTAGTTGAGTAGTGTGACCAAATTCATCCTGAAACTCCAGAGGAATATTGAATGGGACTCCAACACGAAAAGGAGGATCCAAAAGACCAAATGAAAATTTTTCTGGCTTACCCTCTTTGGCAAAAACAAGAGTAAAATATAGAATACTTTTATATATTTACGTGAAAAGCAAATATAGAGGTCGGAAGCGTGGGCAATTATATTATGATAAAGATATTATAAACTTGTATAAAAATTATATAAATTGTCAATTCATTTTAAAAGTAATGAGAGTAGATCTTTATCTCATCATAACAGTAAAATTCTATAGATATTACAGATAAATGTGCTCTTAAAACTGTAGAATAAATATATATTTATAATTTTATCACAAGATAATACTTCCAAAGAAAAACAATACAAGAATATATTTGACAATTTTGAAATTATTATACAAAAGGTAAATATAAAAGACACTCCATATGAAAAAACATCTGCAATGAATAATTAAGATCCAGAATACATGGAAACTAAAAGCTTACAGTGTGGTCCCTGGTTTAATAGTAATAGTATTAAACCCTGGGAATGCTGTTAGAGCCCCCAATAAAAGGATTCAATAAAGAAATAAATGCTGGGAAGTTAAAACATGAAAATCCCTGAAGCCAATTCAACTGAAATCTGAAACGTAGGAGAAAGGTTTAAGCTCTCCTAAATGATGCAGATACCCACTCCAATTTCAAACTCACAACTTTGATTATTTATAGGTTTTCTCAGATGATACACAAATGCCCAATACAGACTAGAAGAGTCCCATAGCCAAGAAAGCAAAGAAACAGGTTAGTCACTGACTGAATTAAAAAGCACGTAGGTCAGCCAACGATGAGCACAAGGGAAACAGGAATTTTCATACTTTTAATGAGAGAACTATGGCATAAACTTTTTAGAAGGCAATTTGACAATACATATATTAAAAATGTTAAATCAGACACACTTTATCTCCACATTTCTTTTTATTTATTTATTTATTATTTATTTTTATTTTTTTCACATTTCTACTTTTGGTATCCAACCTATAGAAATCCGAGCACGTTGAAACAAAACATTGTTTCCAATAACCAAAAAGTCCGAAAAACAGAAAAACTTAAATGTGCATCAGCCGGAAACCACTTAAAATATGGCACCTCCATAATAGGAAGTATGTTGCATAGCTGTTAAATGAAGTACTTATATGCACAAGAATGATCTCTAAACTGGTCTCATAAAAGGCAAAGTTAACACATGCATTTATATATGCTCCCTTAAAAATTCCCATTATAATGACAGCACAAAGATCTTTTCAAAAGATGCCTAAACCAAGAAGAAAAAAAGAATTTGAAAGATAGAGAAGATAAAAGCAAGTGTAACTGATGCAGCAGAAAGAGTTCAGCGTATCGAATCTCTACCGTGCCTCCTTAAAGACTTCTTTTTGGTCCTCAGCCCCCGTCTTACTCAGGTAATGTTAGAACACTATTTTAGAACTCCTAGTAAATGTTCAAAATCCATGCTACTCTGCTATATGCCTCATGCTGAAGGCAACTAAATTAACTCTGGTGTCAAAGCTATTGCCTGAGATGCCGTGAAATGTAGATTGTATTCCAGGATGGGAAACCCATTAAACTCTGAGAAAAGAATATAACCAAGAAGAATTACTGAAACCCTAATAAAGGCTGAACATGATAGTGGGACAAGAGGAAAATAAAAGGAAATAGAGGAGAGAGCTAGCATGTAAAGGGCATTTACAGAGGTCTAAATAAAGGCATGTACATAGTAAATATACTTGTATATGAAGATGTCAAAATAGATCTATGTGCATATATGTACATTTAGTATTAAGGTAGCAGATTGACATTGGGCCTCCACTCAAGTACTCCCTGAATTCAAGAATACTTTGTTTTATTTAACTGGCATTCCATGATGCTCACCTTCCCCACACAATCAGTGAAGGCAAAAGCAGGTTAATAAGCAAATGTAGCGAAGAAAGCTGATGGTGCCCAGCTATCAAAAGATACAGCATCTGGGGTCTTAAGGCTTGAAGGTAAACAAGCAGCCATCTAGCTCAGAACCAACAAAGCCCACATAGAAGAAACACACCAGCCTGTGTGATCATAAGGTGTTGAAGGGATGAGGTATCAGGCATCATCGGAACAGGCATCATAGTGAATGAGGGGGAGTGCAGAGTGGAGACCCAAAATCCATCTGTAGGCAATTGGACATCCCCTTACAGCAGGGTCGCGGGGAGGAGACGAGCCAATCAAGGTGCAGTGTAGCAACGATGAAATATACAACTTTCCTCTCGTTCCTAAAAGATCCCCCACCCCACCCCCGCACTATCATGATCTCAATTCTTCCTTACAAATCTGGCTAGACCAGAGGATGTACAGTGGTACAGATAGGAACTGGAAAAACAGGGAATCCAGGGTGGATGATCCCTTCAGGACCAGTGGTGAGAGTGGCGATACCGGGAGGGTGGGGTGGAAAGGGGGAACCAATTACAAGGATCTTCATATAACCTCCTCCCTGGGGGACAGACAACAGAAAAGTGGGTGAAGGGAGACGTCGGACAGTGCAAGACATGACAAAATAATGATTTATAAATTATCTACGGTTCATGAGGGAGGGGGGAGCCGGGAGGGAAGGAAAAAAGGAGGACCTGATGCCAGGGGCTTAAGTGGAGAGCAATTGTTTTGAGAACGATAAGGGCAATGAATGTACAAATGTGGCTTTACACAATTGATGTATGTAAGGATTGTGATAAGAGTTGTATGAGTCCCTCATAAAATGATTTATATATATATATTCAGGTGTACTAACATCCATAAGAGTATAAAGGTCAACAGTATGCGGGACACCAGTCTTTGAGAGAAAGCTCACTGTTTTCCAGATCTGTCAACAAAAACATGCTGATTCACCCTATCTCTGCAATTGCCTACAGTCACTAAGCTGGGACTTTAGTTCAGTTTCAACAAGAAGGGTCCAGGGTTGTGAAAGTAGGCTTTGCCAGAACATCTATTTATATACTGGGGACAGGTCACATCCCCTAAGAAAATTCCCCTTTCAACTGATTGGCTGCTCATATCAGATCAAAAAATGAAAAGTATGCCAAACCACTGAGAATCATAGCCTAACCAAGTAAACACAAAAACATTAACCATAACAATATACCATGCAGGGTATCTATACAGTAATAGATATTCCAGAATGATATAACAGAGAAGAGAAAAATAAAAGAAATTTAAGAAATACCTCTAAAAAATAAAATGAGACTTTTCAGATTAATAAACAAGTACAAAGTACCCAACAATTTAAGGAAAACAGAATAACACCAATCATACAATTTAAATTTCCGAACTATTCAGAACTAGAGGGCAAACAAAAGATTCTACAAGTGCCTGGGATGGTGGGAGGTTAAGTGGCATCCAAATGGTCAGTTACATACAAAGGTATCAGCACAGGTGCATATTTCACCAGTAACTATGGGGCAATACCTTCAAAATGCAGAGGGGCTATGATTAAGTGGAATTATAAAAGTCTTTTCAAGAACTAGTTACACATTTGTTTAAACATCTTTTACTGAATTATCTTCATTCCCTCTGAATTTAAAATGCCATCTTTAGCATATGTAGTTATATATTGTTTTACTTACCTTTAACAGTAAATTTAATTGTTTTAGATGGTAGTGCTCTTCCTGAGTAAGTGTCTGCATTACTTTCGTTCAACACAACTTGTAATTTCAATGTATAATTCCCCAATTTCTGAATATTTTCTGGATAATTAAGAAATTAAAAATCAAAGTCAACTGATAGTGATAAAATACTGGCACACATTTTAACAACCGAAACAATAACTCACCCATCTTTTTAAACCAGTAAGGCCATTTTCCTCCATGTTGACTAATATGTGAAATTATTTCTTTATTTCCACTTGAAGCTTTATAAACAAAAGAGAGATTGATGCTTTGAGAAACTGAGTTTAAAACATGAATGTGAACTGTTGCACTGACATCTTTCTTTGCTTTACATTTTAAAAAGTCTTTCCCCTCAATTCTTAAAAACATGTGTGAAAGGCCTTAATAATACAAATAATTTAACATACAGATCATTTTCACGATATTAAAATTCACTTTCCAAAAAAGTTTTCTGTTGAGAGCAAATGTTTTGAGAATGATGAGGGCAATGAATGTACAAATATGCTTTACACAACTGATGCATGTCAAAAACTAATGAAATCACTAATTAATCAGGGAAGAAGAAAACAATAGAAGGAATAACATGACTTCTCTGAAATATACCATTATATGTTTTAGGCTTTAGAATTAGGTGAATTTAATTATTCAAAACAGGAACTTAAAAAAAATACAATGCAAATCAGTTGATGACAAGACTCCAGAGCATGAAGGTTACTGCTTTAAGTAATGTTAGAATAAAGAATATGTTACTATTTCAACAGAGAAAAAAATATTTTAAGGATAAATATGATTATAAGTCAAATATATTTAAATCAACTTACAACTACCTGGTAAATATATTTTTATTATTTTGAAACTATACAGATTATAGGATAAAGCAAGTAAGTAATTGTTAATATTGTTTTAAAAAAATCAAGCATTTTAGCATAAAAATACCAGTAGAAAATCAACGTGATCAGGTAAAAAATACATGAATTCATTTTTTCTTTTGTCAAAACTACATATTCTTAAACTGTCAAGTGAAAAGGTCTAGATGCTATTTTACCAAATGGCTATAAGTACCCCACACACTCAGATTGTGGTCTCTAAATACTATTCCCATTGAAAAGCTGCAGGAGGAATGGCTGAAACCAGATCTGGAATGCAACATGTTTAAGAAGAGTCTTAAGATTTCTTCAGGCAGAAAACAGGAAAGCTAAGTAAGAGGGTCATATCACAAGGACACAAGAGCATCAAAAAGAACGAAGCATTTAAATATATAAAACTTCATCAAATTCACGTCATTGTTAGATGCCCTTGAGTTGCTTCCAACTCAAACTCTATGTACAACAAAATGAAACATGGCTATCCCAGCAATCTTGTTATGCTGGAGATCATTACTGCAGACACTGTGGCTAACCAGCTCCTGGATGGTCTCCCTCACTTTCACTGACCTTGCATTTTACCCAACATGATGTCCTTTTCCAGGGACTGGTTTCTCTTGATAACATTTTCAAAGTCTTTGTGAGATGAAATCTTCTCATCCTTGTTTCTAAGGTACTCATTTCAAGACAACATGTTTGTTCTTCTAGCAGTCCATGGTATTTTCAATATTTTTCACCAGCACCATAATTCAAGTGCATCAATTCTTCTTCAGTATTGCTTATTAAGTGTCCAATTTTCACACGTATATGTTAAGACTGAAAATACAGTTGCTTTGGTTAAAAAAAAACACAACCCAACAATCTCACTGCCAATGAATTAAATGTTGATTCATAGAGTTTCCGAAACTGTACTGCCTGGTTTTTCTCCAAAGGAGTAGTCATTGGTTTTCAATTGCTGGCCTTGTATTTAGCAGCCCAACAGGTAACCCACTCCACTACCAGGGCTCATGTGGTTTGGGTTAAGTAAATTTTAATCCTCAAAATGGCACTGTTGCTTTTCAACACTTTAAAGAGGTCTTGTGCAGCAGACTTGCCCAATGCTTCAATGTACACTGATCCTGTTATTACTATTAACAGGCAACATGAAATTCTTGATTACTTCAATCTTTTCTCCACTTATCATAGCATATTCATTCAGTTGTGATGATTTTTGTTTTCTTTACATTGGGTTGCAATCCACACAGAAAATGCAGTTCTTGATCATCAAGGGCTTTAAGCCCTCCTCACTTTAGCAAAGCTGTCAAATGCGTATTGCAGATTGTTAATAAGCTTTCATCCAATCCTGATGCCATGTACTTCTACATAGTCCAGTTTCTCAATTACTTGTTCAGCATACAGATTTAATATTGAGAAAGAACGTAACCTTGATGCACACCTTCTGGGATTTTAAAATATTGTTTTCTCTTGTTCTGTTCAAACGAATGCCTCTTGATTCATGTACAGCGGTGTATCCCAAAGGGGACACAGGAGGGAGTGCTGGAATGATCCAGAAAGCTGCAAAAGCAAAGACGTACACTAAATTTTTTATTGCTGGGGTGTGTGGAGTACCCACCCCCGCCCCTGAAAAGGGGGGTGGTAGGTCAAATCAGAGAAGCTCGATTATATGAATGTGGCATCAGAATTGGAGGAAGGGTTATTACCAACCACAATATGTTGATGACTCAAGCTTGCTTTTTTAAAATGAGGAATTGAAGCACTTGCTGATGAAGGTAAAGAACTGTAGCCTTCAGTATGGATTACAACTCAATGTAAGGAAGACCAAAATCCTCACAACTGGACCAATAGGTAACATCATGATAAATGGGGAAAAGATTGAAGTTGCCAAGGATTTTGTCTTGCTTGGATCCACCATCAATGCTCTTAGAAGCAGCACAAGAGATCAAAAGACATATTTCATTGGGTAAAACTGCTGCACACAAGACCTTTTCAGAGTATTGAAGAGCAAGGACGTTACTTTGAGGACTAAGGTGTGCCTGACCTAAGCCATGGTAGTCTCCATTAAATCATGTGTGTGAAAGTTGGACAATGAGTAAGGAAGACCGTAGAAGAATTGATGCATTTGAATTATGGTGGAGAATATTGTGGTGCTGGAGAAAGTACCATGGACTGCTAAAAGGACAAACCAATGTGTCTTGGAAGAAGTACAAAGTGCTCCTTAGGAGGATGGCAAGACTTCATCTTACATTCTTTATAGAGATATTGTCAGGAGAGACCAGTTCCAGAAGGACGTAATGTTTGGTAAAGTGGAAGGGGCAGCAAAAAAGAGGTACACCCTCAACAAGATGGACACAATAGCTGCATCAATGGACTCAAGCATAGGAACAATTGTGAGGATGGCACAGAACCGTGTTGTGTTGTGTTGTGTTGCGTTGTGCATAGGGTCTCAATAGGTTGGAATCGACTTGCTGGCAACTAAAAACAAGGCCAAATAAGTTTATGAGCCTATGATGTACACGTTCTGTATAAGCACAAGCAAATGTTCTAAAATTCTCCTTACCCTCAAGACTATCCATAGTTTATGATTGAGTCAAATGCCTTTGGTTAGCCAATAAAACGCAAGCAAATATCTTTCTGTAATTTTCAACTTGCAGCCAAGATCCATTCGATGTCAGCATTGATATCCTTGTTTCACATTCTTTTCTGAATCCAGTTTGAGATTTTGGCAGTTCCCTGTTGATATCCTGCTACAATCATTGTTGAGTGATCTTTAGCAAAACTTTACTTGCGTGTGATATCAATACTATTGTTCCGCAATTTGAGAAATCTATCGGGTCACCTTTCTTTGGAATAGGTACAAATACAAATCTCTTCTTGGGCAGGTGGCTTTCAAATTTCTTGAGTGCTTCCATTGTTTCATCAGCTTGAAATTTTTATAAGTTGGTATACTTGAATGTACGTATAATATGAAATATTTTTAAGTTGAAATGTTCCAGTTGGTATCCCATCAATTCCTGGGGCCTTGTTATTAAAAAAAATGCCTTAAAGGTAGCTTAGTCTTCTTCCTTTAGAACCACTGATTATATGCTATCTCTGGAAATAGCTGAATGATAAGCAGTTCTTTTTGGTACAGTGATTTTGAGTTCTTTCCATCTTCTTTAGATATTTCCTGCATTGTTCAATACTTTGGCCATAAAATCTTTCAATATTACAACTTGAGGCTTAAATTTCTTTCTTTAGGTCTTCAACTTGTGATATGCTAAGCATGTTCTTCCTTTCTGGTTTTCTAACTTCAAGACTTTGTATATTTCATATTATAATAGCTTGTTTTCTCAAGACGCCCTTTAAAAGTCCTATTTAGCTCTTTTAATTCATTATCTCTTCTATTTGGTTTAGCTATTCTATGATCAAAAGCCGGTATCAGAAACTTTTGATTTTGATCTTTTTCCTCTCTCTACCATCTTCTACATATGTATTTGCTTCACTTACAATTTTTAGGCTTTTAAAATTATTAATTTATCATGGGTATTAGCCAAAAAACCCCTGCAAGATTAGAAAAGGTCAGGCAACTTTCTAATTTGTAAAGCATTTATTCTACAAGAATTTATTAATCACCTTTAATTACTGATCACTAGAAAACAGTGAAGGATATATTAATATCCCTGTTTTCACGGTTTGTTTTCTTGGCAAGCTACCAAACATGGCTGATCTCATTATATAAGATGGTCACAAGAGAGAACTTACATCCTTCAAAGGTCAAATGTTTATTATCTGACCCTTAACAATAACACTTGCCACCTCTGTCCTAGAGAGAAGGGAGACATTTAAGAAATAAAGTTTGAAGTTACACAAAGAAAATTTAAGGACAAGAATTACGCACTACAGAAATAACAAAAGAGTTCTATCATTATTATTAGACGATTAGCTGAGAAAGTGATGTTAGGTGGAAACCTAAGAAATAAGAAAAGGATTGGCTTATCAAAGATTTACTGGTTACGTCAGAAGTAGAAGAAACTATATATATAGTTATAGACCTATATATATATAGGTCTAGAGGTGATAAAACCAGGTTTGTGTGGGAAGAAAAGAAAGCAATTACAGTTAGAAGTATGTTGAGTGAAGAAAATGGATGGGATGAAGCTGAAGTGGGGGCAGGGCTTGACCACATGTGGAGCCTGCAGAGCTTTGACTGGTATGTTAAGCACTAAAGGTAAAGTAGTATAAAAAAAAGGAGAATGACATATTTATAATTCAAAAGAACACTTCTGAATGCACTGTGGTAAATGAGCAAGAGCTGGCGTAGAGTTGCCAATCAGGCAGGATAAGAGACCATGAAAACTTGAACTTGAAAGGTATCAAAAGATAAGGTAGGGCAGAAGATAGACTTTAGTCTATGAAATAGTTACAGACTAAATAACGAGACTGCCTAGCGAGAGACAAGATCGACTGGCAAGTGGCTGCAACACTGGTTCACACACAGCAATGACTGTGAGGATGGCACAGACTGCCAGTGTCTCATTCTGTTGTACAAAGGGTCCTGATCACAATTTTTATGTTTCAAGATCATTTTATTGGGGGCTCTTACAGTTCTTAAAACAATCCATACGCAATAAATGACAAAATAATAATTTATAAATTATCAAGGGTTCATGAGGGAGAGGGGAGCGGGGAGGGAGGGAAAAAAAGAGGACCTGATGCCAGGGACTTAAGTGGAGAGCAAATGTTTGAGAATGATGAGAGGGCAATGAATGCACAAATGTGCTTTACACAATTGATGTATGCATGGATTGTGATAAGAGTTGTATGAGCCCCTAATAAAACGATTAAAAAAAAATCCATACATACATCAGTTGTATCAAGCATAAATGAAAGTGATGAAAAATAAAAATGATGACCATCAATTTTTTTAAGCCTTTGGACAATGAAATCTATACTATAGGTTTAAGGAGAATATTAAAGCTCCAAATTAATTGCTGTACTTACAGTGTAAAATAACTTTGAGCTCAACCAGAAGTTTCTTTGACCCTCCATGACTTGTTCCTGGAAGCTTTTGCATTGCTTCCCCTTTTTTATTCAGTATTTCAATTCTTAATGCACCTATTAGTCCAAAATTTAAAGAGAAAAAAGTTTCTTAATAAGAGCCAAAGAATCTACCATGCCTTGACGTTACATTTTAATTTTTCATGTTTCTTCTTTTTTTTCCTTTTTCACAGAATGGAACGGTCTGACCCAAGAAAAGCATTGTTTCAGACATGAAAAAGAAACATACCAATAGGGGCTCCAGCAGGCCTAATTTCATTTGGCAATAATTCATCTCCTTCAGGCCAAGTTACAGACAACCTGTCTGGGAGCCTATTATGAAAACAACATATTAAAGTTGCACAAAGTATAGAATTGTGGTCATAATTAAAAAATACTTGATAGCAGAATCTTCAAGGGTTTCCCTAACATATATTGAAAGGTTGAAACAGAAATTTTATGATTAATCAGTTAAAAATTTTCCTATTTAGCCATTCTCACAATTACTGGATAAGTGAAACAAAGCTTCTTGCTATCAAAAGCAAGTAATTGTCTACCTTTAGTTGTTTTTTCTATTCATCTACAGAACAAAGTATTTTGGGGAAATAATATGAACACTGAGAATAAAATGAGCATCAAGATTCAGTAAGAATACAGAAGAACCAACAGAGTGTTGCTCGTCTCTATCTTACTTTTTTTTGTACACATCTTCCTTCTTACACATAGTAAACCAAATCAAGATTTGTTCAAATGCCTTTAATATTGCACTTAAAAACTGACACTTTGCTTATAGAAAATGCCTTTTCTTACAAAACAAATGCAGAATTCCATTTTTGTAATAACTAGGCCTGTGTTAAATAGCAAGTTCACTTCAGTATGTACAACACTAAAGACTACAAATTCCCTAGTCTAAGAGGAAAACAAAACAGTTAAGACTAGATAGTATTGTGATTCATCACCTTGTTATTTTTGTCATTTCTTTTAAAATGTGGATTACCTGGCCATTTCATCATCTACGTATTTCTTTACAGCTTTCTCAGCAACTGTCCTATCCAGTTTTGCAATTGGCACAGTTTTGAATTCATCATAAAATGCACGCGGTTCCTGAATAAATAAATTAAATAACTGTACCAACATTTCAGAGACAAGTATTCAAATTTAGCGGTAATAAAAACACTAGTTCAAGTTTCTTCTAAAGAAATACTAGATTATTTTACTCTAATTATTATCAATAACATACAATCTTTATAGTGATAACACAGTGCTTATTTCAGTTTTTCATGTAGTTTTCATTATGGCACATGGCAACCTTATGCCTAACACTGCAGTCCACCACCCCCCAAAAGCTATGTATTTAATTTTTTTTTAACAAAACAACCTTACTCCATTACACTTAATACATTTGTCAAATCTGTGATCCCATTTGGGAAACATTTTTGAAACTCATCTGTTTGTATAGCTCACAGCATCTCAATTATTTTTTCCTTCAACTCTTCTACATCATCAAATCGCTATCCTTTTATGTCCCTCTTCATTTATGGAAACAAAGTTTCACGGGAAAAGGTCAGGTGAGTAGAACAAGAGAAGCATGCTGTGTTTTTGCCCCAAACTGGCACACTCAGGAGGGATGCGTGACCAGGTGCATTATAATGGTTGCAAAACCAGTCCCCCCTCTGGCACAAATTAGGCATTTTTTGTTGCACACCATTACACAATCTTTTCAGAATCTCTAAATAAAGTTTGATTAACAGTATGACCTGGTGGAACAAACTCCAAATGCACTAGGAGTTGACATTTTCATCTGTTTGGGATGTCCAGAACGAGGTTTGTCAACGACCCTTTTTTGAAACGAGAAGACCACTGGTGCACTTGAGTTTCCCATAGCGCTGTCCTTGTAAGAGGTGCTCAACGTCCTAACAGTTTCGGTGGCATTATTTTCGACAGGAAACAAAATTCCACAGCTGTACACTGTTCTCTTAAATTGGCCATCATAAAAATGAGGTTCGAGCGAAACTGTAGCCAGAGAGAGCCACCACTGGGTGCACTGACTCAGAGTGAGTTGCTTGATGCTTGCCTAGAGGTACTATACTACAAAAGGTCTGCTCAGCTCTGCCTAGCACAATTCTGGGTTTTTTTGGGCACCCCTCCATATTAAGAAAATATTAACAGCGCATGGAATGGGGTGGGGACTGACTAGTTTTAGATTAACTCATTCATAAGATAGAATTCTTGCTCCAATGTTTACTTGTTTGTGGTCGCATAAGAAAATACATACTACAGAAAAAAATTTAGATAATTTGCAATAATGTATGTATGTTTGTAAAGCACTGGCATACAAATTTTAAATTCTATAGATTACCAAAGACACCAAACATGAAGTTATGCTAAAATCAGCCATTTTATGCCCCTCCCCCAAAATTAATGAAAGCAAATCTGAAACATTATATCTATATTTAAATATCTAAATTACAATTAAGTAGCACCACTAAGACACATATAATATCATTATTTGCTGCCTTACCATTGCAAGTTGAACCTCTCCTCCTGTGGCATACACTTCTCCATCATGATCACCATAGAGGAAAAATTTTTCTATGCTTCCATAAAAGAGGGGCAGGGTTTTAATAGTCTTAACCTAATATTGATTTTAAAAAGAAAAAAAAGGGAAAAAAGGCTTTAGCATTAATACGTAATTAACAAAACCAATTTAGTACTAATAATTATATCATTGAAGTATTGTATATAAGAAAAAACCCTAGAATCAATCATCAGAACAGCTAATAAAAGTATTCGAATATTCTATGAAAATTATATTTGTAATGTCACCATTTGATCTTAACTTATCTTTGAAAAGAGGCAACAGCTAAGACATCCAACAAATACATCATGGTTAAGCATGTGTCACTAGGTAGAGAAGACTTTCAAAATAAATTATGAGGCTCTAAATACCTCAAATTTTCTTTTCTCCATAAAATTTCTTGCTTAGATTAGGCACACCGACTTAGAAACATAGCAAGTTGACATTTCTTTCAAATTAATCAGCTTATAACTTGCCTATAAGATTTCATTTTCTTTCTTGGTTTAAAAAGTCACAAATTTCTAATAAGGACTAAAAGTTTATGCACAATGAAAACCATATTCTACAGGCTCCCGTATCCCTACTTTGCACCCCTTCATCTCATCAACTTATCCCTCTTTGTTGCCACTGCCCGCTACTACTTTTCATTCTAACCTCTAAATGTTAAGATGGTCCCAGGTTTAGACTGAGCCTATTCTCTAGCTTCAGGAACTACCTTTGAGTGATTTAATCCAATTCCATGGTCTTGAATACATGATGGTGATTCTGGCCTTCTACCGTTACAATTATGGATGTAAAGCGAGCTAACACGACTTTGAAGGTCCACAACAAATGCCACTTCTTCCATGGAATTTCAGGATGTGATTTCATCTCCCAGACCAAATCAGAATATTTTTTCTCTTTTTCTCCCCAGAAAAATTTCTTGATAGTCTCTTAAAAGTACTCTTCACCCTTTCTTTCCATAGTACTTATCCCCTCTGAACCTATTATTATTAGTGTTTGCACTTCTTGTTTTCAAACTATACTAACCTAAAGGATAAAGCACACATTCCTAGATATTTGCATTCTCTAGAGGGTAAAATGGCAGTAACTGACATAAAAGTTGATCAACAAATATTTGTTTAAAAAAAGTAATTACTTCATGTCACATGAAAGAAAATTGAGAAGCTCTATGTAATTGAATAAAGCTTACTGCAAGAAATAAAAACCTTCCTAACTGAGCTGGTAATATATTTTTCAATGCTGAACAAATTACATAATTAAATCATTAATCAAAATCACTTTCATGAGGAACCAGTTCATGCTGTTTTTATTTTTAACTAAATTCTGACAGATCAAATTGTTATAGATTCTATTAAAAATTCAATCTAAAACTAAGTTAGACTTACCAGCTGTCCTGCTTTGTATATTTTTCCGTCCCATTCTATTGCTGCGTATGTGGCCCAGGGGCCCTGCCTTTTAGAAGGGAGATCAGGACGAGTAGTTATTCCTTTAAAGACTGTAAATTTTATCTGTTTGTCATATTTTTCATGACAATCCTTCAGCCATAATGCAAACTCTCTGTCAATTTTCATCCGCTGTTCCTATAAAAAATTTAAAATTTCTATAGTTACTTGCAAACAAATATAACACATTTGTCATTCATTTCATTTCTCCCACCTAAAACCAAATGAAATAATTTAAGTATTTTTCAGACTTTCTTCTACATATTTATTAGATTCAAAATAAAACTATTACTTACGAACGGGGTCACAGGAAGTCTTCTCACACCAAACTATGCACTTCTCATAGGGGCAAAATAAAGCTATTTTTATGTATAACCACAGTTATACACAAATACAGTGAAACAGATACTCCTTTATCATGTATCTGAGAAATTAAATTTTCATTTCATCTCTAGGTAGGAATTAGGGGGAGGAAATAACTGAAATCACTTCCTAAAACCAAAACCAATCCTATTGCCATTGAGTTGATTCTGATTCATAGCAACCCTATAGGGAAGAGGTGAACTGCCCCATAGAGGTTCCAAGTATATAATCTTTGCAGAATCAGATGGCCACCTATCTATCCTGCAGAGGTGCTGGTGGGTTCAAGTTGCTGACTTCTGTGTTACCAGCTGAGCACTTAATCGCCTCACCACCTTCTCACTTCTATCAAGTCAATGCTGGCTCACAGTGACCCTATAGGGCAAAGTAGAATTGCTCATGAGTTTCCAAGATTGAAATCTTTACAGTAGAAAACCTTGTCTTTCTCCCATGGAGCTGGCTGGTGATTTTGAACTTACATTAGCAGCCCAATGTGTAACCACTATGCCCCCAGGTCTCCTAAAAAGGCTTACAGGGTGGTAATTTTTTTTTCTTGAGAAACATTAATATAAACCCTTATTACACTTTTAATTTTATGTCCCATATACACATTACCTATTCAAAACTAAAGTTTTAAATTACAAAATAAAACCGTCTTTTAATAATACATATGAATAGATGCTCTTCATCATATTCATCACCCTGCTTTTCTTTATTCTTCACCCTGCGATGAGCCCTCAGAGAGAGCTGCTATATGCTTACCACCTGCTTCTGAGAGAATGAGTAGGGAAGATGATGTCCATATTACATGCTTGCATGCAGGATAAGTTACAAAAGTATAGCTCACTCTTTCCTACACATCTTACTCGAAGACACACCATTCCGAAAGCAAAGGAAACAAAATTAAAAATGATTTCAACTTAAATTTTTATAACTTAAATCTTCAATTCACTCACTGCCATTTGAGTTAATTTCTACTCATAACAATGCTACAGAACAGGAAAGACCTGCCCCATTGCATTTCTGAAGCTGTAATATTTATTAGAGCAGACAGCCTCATCCTTCTCTGAAGGAGTAGCTAGTGGGCTCAAATTGCTGACCTTGAGGCTAGCAGCCCAACGTGTAACCCACTATACCACCAAGGCTCCTTAAATCCTTAGATGGATGATAACTCCCTTTAAATCCCAACCTTACATGTTTTGAGTTATTATAAACAAGAAATACATGCTTATGTTAAAAACTCAAAGATCCCTAGGTTCTAAACAATTGCTCCTCCCACTTCTGTTACTGGTTACCAACTTCCCTGGCAAGAAGCAAATTACTTTTGTTCGTTTCTGGATAACTTTGTATGTTAATTTCATTGAATAGTAAAATTATTAATCAAGAATTGCAACTCTCAGGGATTTAAATACCCCACACCCCTCAGCCTAAATATGTATAAACTAGGCTAGGCCACAATTCTCAGTGGTTTGGCAGTTATGTAATAATGTAGTTTGGCATATACAATGTAATGTAGTCACCCCCCTAATGTGATCACCTAATCAGTTGTTAGGAGATTAGAGTGCGATGAAACATCCTTAATCAGGTCAGAGCCCTGAGTTCCCCAGAGTGTGATCTGCATCACCTTTTATCTTATAAGAGACTAAAGGAGAGAGAAACTAACAGAGAGAAGGATTTCGGTACCACCAAAGGAGAAGAGCAGGAGTGGAGTGTGTCAATTTGGACGCAGGGATCCTGTCTTGTGAAGCTCCTAGACCCAGAAGAAGACTGATGCCAAGACACATGGAGACTTCCAATAGACACCTAATCTAAAGATGTTTAAAGGAGACAAAGACCTGCTTCCCAAGCTGACAGAGAGAAGGGAAGCCTGCCCCCAGAGCTGAATTCTGAATGCCAGCTTTCTAAATTGTGGGATAATAAATTCCTATTTTAAGGCCAACTACTTGAGGTCTTTCTATTATACCAGCATTAGATAACTAAAGCAGGAATGTCTACCAATTTTGCATACTATACTCCAAGCCTAAGTTAAAAAGTAAATTTAAATAACACTATCAATCAAACAAATCACCAAATGCATTACTTAAAGCCAGAAACTCATTAAATGTATGCAAATACAATTTAACAGTGTAGCACGATGATAGCTAATCAAGGTGAGGTGCATATAAATATTATTCTTTTAATATTTCTGTGTACTTGAAAATTTCTAAGAATGTATACAGACTTAAAACTAAAACAGGAGTCCTGGTGGTATAATGGTTACTCACTGGGCTGCGATCCACATATTCAGCAGTTCAAACCAGCAGCAGCTCTGAGGGGGAAAGACTAGGCTTTCCACTCCGATAAAGTCTTGGAAACCCACAGGGGGTTGCTATGAGTCAGCAATGACTGAATGGCATTAAGGTTTTATGGGATTTAATTAAATACTTTTATTGGGGGCTCTTACATCTCCCACCACAATCCATACATTGTGTCAGGTACACTTGTACATATGCTGCCATCATCATTTTCAAAGCATTTTCTTTCTACCTGAACCCTTGATATCAGTTCCTCATTAGCACTAAGTTTTTAAAAAGTAAAATGCAACAAATGAATCAATCTAGTGTGGGTAATTTTTTCGAAGACCAAATTGTTCAGTAACTGTTGGACAAATTCCATGTTTTAAAAAAGAATCCCAAGTCTATCAAAACTGAGTACTGACTCAGTTTTACATGACTTTTCTCAGATAATTCTCAAAAAGAATCTAAAACTGTTATGATTCATAAACTTTTATAACTTCAAGATTAATAACAACATTTAATAGTTGTGATTAAAAGTTGACCATAAACACTATGTGCTACATATTTTTTGTTTACTGTTTGGTAAATTCAAGTTGACAATAAACGCATCTATCACTTGACAAGCCAACATTAAACTATTGAAAGATCAGCACTGAGTGAAAACTTCTGAGGTATGTGGGTATTACAAGTACAATCGTCATCATACACCATCAATAACTATTTGAGTATTTTTATTTTAAAAAATCTAAACTGGGCAATGAACGTACAAATTTGCTTTACACAATTGATGTATGTAAGGATTGTGATAAGTGTTGTATGAGTCCCTAATAAAATGATTTAAAAAAATCTAAACTACTATAAATATATTTTAAAAATCTATACTACTCATGATTTGTTTTACTACAAAATTGAGTATTTGTAAGTATTTACATACACCAATAGACTAAAATGGTATGATCTTATGAAAAGAAATGCTGAGAATAAGAAAATGCTTAAAGACAAAAGAGTTAAATTGCTTGAAGGGTAAGGAGTTCTGATTAAAGGAAAAATACTTGAAATATAAGGTTGGGCAACAGGGTGTATATAATAATTAATGTCACTGAATTTACATTGAACAATTTACCTTTCATTAAAAAAAACTGTGAGGAGTGCACATATAAGAAATAAACAGAAAACTGATACAAATAAAAATTGATATTTAAAATCATACCTGTCCATTTAAGATCCGTGTAAATAAGGTATTCTTATCTTTCAGTTTTAGCTCCAGATCCATGAAAGTCAGTTTATTGGTGCTGACCTGAAATTTGTCATTGGTGAATAATGCACCAGATATTCTATTGTAGCATTCAATTGGGGCAAGCCCTCTTTTCTTTGGAGGAGTGCACCAATCAAAGCTAAAACAGAATAAAGTATTAGTTACTAAAAAGATCAGACTATAAAGCAAACAATTTCAGCAAAAATAAAAACTTACTCTTCAACAGATGTATATGGTATTAATCGTCCATTCCAAAAACATTCAAAAATAGGCCTTTTCCCTCTTGCAGCTTTCTCAATTATAAAACCGTCATCGTCATCATCTTCATCTTTTAATTCTAAATCAAAGGGATAAGTGAAACAAAATGTACTACTGATTTATGCAATTTTCATCACTAAGATGTCAGTTTCATTAAGTGAAATATTAAAGCTGCTTCAGAGAAATGGTAACAAAAATCCTTATGATCTCTCAAATTATAGTGTAGAAAAACTAACGGTAGTTTTATTCTTCTCAGAAAAAGAAGAGTTCTTTTAGATGCCACATCTATTTACATATTAAGCAAACTATGTCTTCAAGAATACCAAACTACTTGCTGAGATCTGCAATCTTTAAAATTTACATACGAAGATAAGTTAAAAAAAAGTACTGCTGCTAGGGTCTAGTTGATACATGTATGCTTTATTCCAAACAAAATGCTTGAATGTGCATCAACTAAGGCCACATGGAAGAAGCACACTAGCCTGTGTGATCCCAAAACTGCAAACAGTAAATTCCAAATCTAAAGGAGGGAACAGTTCCGTGTTTCTATATGATATTCTGTATATGAAATCCAAGACAGATAAATCTAGAGAGTAACCTATGAACATGGCAGGGGAAGTTGGGGAGAAATGAAAAGCTAACAATGAATGTTAGAAGAAAATGTTCTTGAAATGAACTGCGGCGATGGCTGCGCAACTTTCCTTAATAAGACCGAATAATTAAATTGTATGATCTGTGAATTTTATGCCAATAAAATTATTCTATTATTTTTAAAAATGGAAGAGGAGGAGGTGGGGGAAAGGAAGTGGTGTTAACCAACTCAGGGACAAGAGAACAAGTGATCCAAAATCAGTGGCAAGGAGGTTGTAAGGCCTGGTAGGGATTGATCAAGGGCACTGTAACTGAGAGGAATTACTGAAACCCAAATGAAGGCTGAGCATGATAGTGGGACAAGAGGAAAGTAAAAGGAAATAGAGGAAAGAACTAGGAGTCAAAGGGTATTTATACAGGTCTAAACACAGGAATATACATATGTAAATATATTTATATATGATGATGGGGAAACGGATCTATGTGCATATATTAATATGTTTAGTATTAAGGTAGCAGATGGACATTGGGCCTCCACTCAAGTACTCCCTCAATGCAACACTTTGTTCTATTAACATGGTATTCCATGATGCTGACATTCCCGACATGATCGCTAAAGACAAAGTGGGTGCTAAAGCAAATGTGGTGAAGAAAGCTGATGGTGCCCGGCTATCAAAAGATATAGCATCTGGGTTTTTTGTTGTTGTTATTTTGTTTTCTTTTGTTGCTGCGCTTTGCTGTTTTGTTTTTGTGAATATTATTATCTCTGCAGGTCTATCTAGATAAGATTAGAGGGATAAACCATCTGGAGGATTAAAAGGCTTAAAGATAAACAAGCTGCCATCTAGCTCAGAAGCAACAGAGCCCACACGGAATAAGCACACCAGCCTGTGTGATCACGAGTTCTCCATGGGATCAGGTATCAGTCAAAAAAATTGTGAATGAGGGGAGTGCAGAGTGGGGACCCTAAGCCTATTTGTAGGCAACTGGACATCCCCTTACAGAAGAGTCGCAGGGAGGAGACGAGTTAGTCAGGGTGCAGTTTAGCAATGATGAAACATACAATTTTCCTCTAGTTCTTAAATCTTCCTCCCCCCAGCTATCATGATCCCAATTGTACCTAACAAGTCTGGCTAGACCAGAAGATGTACACTGGTACAGATAGGAACCGAAAACAGGGAATCCAGGACAGATGACCCCTTCAGGACCAGTGGTGAGAGTGGCGATACCAGGAGGGTGGAGGGAAGGTGGGGTAGAAAGGGAGAATCGATTACAACGATCTACATATAACCTCCTTCCTGGGGGACGGACAATGGAAAATTGGGAAGGGAGACGTTGGACAGTGTAAGACATGACAAAATAATAATTTATAAATTATCAAGAGTTCATGAAGGAAGGTGGGCAGGGAGGGAGTGGAAAAATTGAGGAGGTGATACCAAGGGCTCAAGTAGAAAGCAAATGTTTTGAGAATGATGATGGCAACAAATGTACAAATGTGCTTGACACAATGGATGGATGGATGGATTGTGATAAGAGTTGTATGCGCCCCCAATAAAATGATTTTTTAAATGATTAAAAAGTAAATAAACAAACAAGATAACAAATTTCGGGGGGAAAAAACAAAACCCAGTTTTCAGAAGTACATAAACCTAGATGTCCAGAAAAAATAGCTCCACATTCTTATTTGTGTTTAGTAAATATTTTTATGCTTTTGTAGTAATGCCTTTTGACTCACCTTCACTTAGAGCAAAGGCATGTTTAACCGCTAAGCGTTACTATCTGAGTCCTTCCTCTCTACGTATTATAGAAAGTTAAATCCTATATGTAAATGATAGTTTTCACATTTCTTTTAGGCCCAGTAGGTTCACATAAAAATGATCTGGTTAATCTATGGTGTATAGATACAGCAAGTTTTACTAGTTTGGATAAATCAGCCAATAACACAATGTAAATTTACCTTATATAATAAATTATTGCATTTTCAGGTAAGCACAAATTATGCATATAGAAATGCATTACATGATAGGTTATTAGGTATCTAAAGCTTAATCATAACATCATATGTTTTAGCAATAAACTCTCATATAACCAGATAAACTAGATCAGAAATAATGATCTTGATATAGTAACACTTCAATATTACACTGGCAAAAATCACCCATCTTAAAATAAAGCCTTTCTTTTCCTGTGGAAAAGACAGCACAAAGAAGTCTCTACTTACAAGTTCTTGCCAATAAAACAAGGTTATTTTTCACAAAGAACCCCTGACCAACATTCCGCTTACTTGCTCTGATTTTAAGACATAATTTGAAAAGCTTTACCTTGCTCTTTGCTACAAGCAAAAAAGATTTAGAAACAGCAAATTTAAAAGGGCTCCAAGACCTCCTATGAGGCAGAACTACGGAGTAAAACATGTATTGGACAATTCCTAAATAGAGTTGGGCACTATTCTAAGGATTTGGAACACTTTTTCCTTCAACCTTCACAATACTTCTATTAGGTTTGAACTATTACTTTCACTCAACAGATGAAAAAGTGAGCAGAGAGAAAGTGACAGAAATGGAATTCAAATGCAGAAAATCTGGTTTCAGCGCTCCCATGTTAAAGATGCAGTAAAGAAAATAATCTGGATGAGAAAAAATACATTGTCAATTGATAAACCCAATGCAATCCCAACAATTCCACCAGGATATTTTTAAGTGAACCTATAAAGATAATTCTGAAGTTTATCTAGAAGAGGACAAATTTAAAAATTAAGAATAATCTTAAAAAAGAAGCACAATGAGAAAAAAAGAAGCACTATGAGAATGCTTTCCCTTATTCTAACAATATCAATATACAGAATAAGTCCATTTATTATCCATATGTAAAAATAAGAACAAAGGCTCACAGTGAAGAATTTAGACCTAACTATATACTTATAGGAATTTATTACCAAACCCGAATGAAGGCCGAACATGATGGTAGGACAAGAAGGAAGTAAAAAGGAAAGAGAGGAAAGAATCAGGAGGCAAAGAACATTTATAGAGGACTAAATACAGACATATACATATGTAAATATATATATAACCAGAGGAGAATAGAACTATGTACTCATATCTGTAAGTTAAGAATTAAGGTTGTAGATGGATATTGGGCCTCAATTCTAGTACCCCCTTAACACAAGAACACCTTGTTCTAACAATCCGGCATTCTGTGTTGGTCATCTTCCTGACACGATCACTGAAGACAAAATGGGTGCATAAGCAAATGTGAAGAAAGCTGATGGTGCCCAGCTATCAAAAGATATAGCATCTGAGGTCCTGAAGGTTTGAAGATAATCAAGTGGCCATCTAGCTGAGAAGCAACAAAGGTCACATGGAAGGACACAAGCCTGTGTGGTCACGAAGTGTCAATGGCATTAGGTATCAGGCATCTCAAGACCCAGAATAAAATCATATCCAAGGTGAATAACAGGGAGACATGGAGTGGAGACCCAATGCCCATCAGTAGACAATTAGACATCCCCTCACAGAGGGGTCATAGAGAAGAGATGAGCCAGTCAGGGTGCATTATAGCACCAATGAAACACACAACTTTCCTCTAGTTCTTTGGTGCCTCCTTCCTCACACTATCATGACCTCAATTCTATCTTACAAATCAGATTAGACCAGAACATGCACACTGCTACAGATAAGAGCCCTAAACACAGTGAATTCAGCATAGATAAACCCCTCAAGGCCAACAATGAGAGTAGAGATACTAGAATTAGAAGAGGGTAGGGGTTTACAGGGGGAATCAATCACAAGGATCAACCCCCTCCCAGGGGTACAAATAATGGAAAAGTGGGTGAGGGGCGATGGAGGGTGATGTAAGATATGGAAAAAATAATTCATAACTTATCAAGGGTTCATGAGAAGGGGCAGGCGGGAGAGGGAGGAGGAAGATATGGGGAGCTGATATCAGGGACTCAAGTGGGAAGAGAATGCTTTGAAAATATTGATGGCATATGTACAAATGTTTTTGACACATTGGAGGAATGTACGGATTGTGATAAGAAATGTAGAGCCCCCAATAAAATATTTACAAAAAAAAAAAACTATTAGAGAATTGTAACACTCAATAATTGGTGCCAGGAAATATTAAGTGCCTACCTAACTTTAGCCATAAAGATTATACATGCACCAAAGATCTAAGTATAAAATGACAAAAATAAAAATTACAGAATATTTTTATAAACTTGAGGTATCAGAAGCCTTTCTACAGCAACATAAAATCAGAAAGTATAAAGAAAAGACCAATAGATATGGCCACATAAAGCGTAAAGGTAATTTATAAATACCCACATATACAAAGAAAATAAGAAAATTATTTGTAATACATAAGAGATTTATAAGCAGTATGCTGCTAAAGGTTCAGTAAAACGACTATGAGAAAACAACATGTTTCTTAAAGCTAGTGCTTTATCAAGTAGAAAAGAGTATACATAAAAAGAATTATAAAATACAAAACCTAACAAATTAAGAAGACTTGCATAAGGAAATATATATACACACTTATTTATCTAACCTTAATAATGGACCTGCTGTAACAATTTTTAAAAAAAGCACTATACTTAAACACAACTTCACATTTTATGGCTAAAATAACAGAATTAACATACTTGATGGAAAGCATGGGTCATCGGGGTATGTTTCTCTGTCATATAAGAAAGGATGATATCGAATAATCCCTTCCACTACACCATCTCCTTCAACATGAGCCTTGAATTCAAAACTATCAGCTGCTGTGTTTATATACAACGTCTGCATGTCATCTTGTATTTCCCGTAGGTTGACAATCTTAGGTGCCTTCCCCTTTTCGTACACGGAGATCTAAAATAAAGATAAAACAATCATTATTTGGGTGACGTCACTTCTGCTCTCAACTACAGTCCAACAAAAGAACTGGTATTAACTCTAATCTGTACAAATAACTATCTAGTTTAATGAAATGTATATTAATATGTCTGGGTATATTTTGTATATGTAGAATTAGAGGTTAAATAGCTCTTTGTGACATCTCAATAAGATAAAACAGAAAGTAAACAAAAGAGCCAGTAAATGAGAATTAAGGACAGATAAGTCATGAGTAGGTTTAACGGAAGGTTTCTGGCTAGAGTTAAGGCATAAGGCATAAACAACATTCTAAGATGTAGACAAGGATATTGAGAATCTAACACTGAAAGTTCTGTTTCTAAACCATAAGTCCCCTCTAAGACTTCATTGAAAAAAAGTCCTGTTTCTTTTCCTCCCTGCTTCAAGACATGATGTTAGGAGTAATTCCTGTCTCTACAGAAGAGAGAAGAAAAGAGAATTCAAATACGATAGTCAATCAAGGTGAAGAATTCAAATTTCTGTTTTCAAGAATTCTGTTTTCTTGGTAACAATTTACCAAAGTACTTTGGTAAAAGCTAAAGAAAGGAGTTGCCTAATTATTGACTGAGTGTATTCAGTCACTTGCAACTGGAATGGAATAATCCTAGTAACATTTTAGGATGGATTTTTATCTTACTTCAATATCAATGTTGTTAAAAGGTCCAGCTTCTTTTGATGTATGTATTTCATTTCCTTTTGGGCCGTGAACATAGTAATGATAAATATGCCTAAAAAACAGAGGAATAAATTTATAACTTAATTCACATAGAATTACACTTCACATAAAAACTCTTAATAGTTACTAGTTAGCAGTAGTTATTGGGTGCCAATCACTATACTAAGTATTTAAGTATATCCTGCTTAGTGGTTCAAACAATCCTGAAATGCAATTATGATTACATCTCACTTATAGACATAAAAATGGGGGCTCAGCGAGTACACATGATTTACCTATAGGAGAGGACTATAGTTTGGGAGAGATGGCCTTCCTAAATGCAAAGTGACATACTTTATATTCCCAAGAAGTCCAGATAATCAAACAAAACATACTAGGATAAAGCTGGAGATAAGAATAAATAAAATTCTATTTGCCAGATATTGTCAAACAAACAAACAAAAACCCAGAGTATCAAAGAATATACTGGACTAAATTATGATCTCAACTAACTTTTCTTATCCTAATATTCTGAAGACAAAACAAGCAAATAAATTAATGCATTACATAAACAACTGCTGCAGAATTATTTGCCACTTTATTTTTTTTAAGTCATTTAAGTAATAAAATTTTAAAGATATTTTGGTGGGGTTACTGAAAGTTAAAAAATAATTATATTTTTAGTAATTTTTCAAAATACAGAAATCTATATTTTATCATATACATTTTAATAAAAAATAATTAAATTTATTATCTGAGCTACTGATTAAAATGCCAATGACAAAGATAAAAACAGTGAAAACTTTTAGATCTTTCTCTAAGTCATATAAAAATAAAACTTTAACACCATATTATGAAAGATCACTTTAATAGCATAAAAATGGTCTGCTTCAAAGAAAAGTTAAAGTTCTATGAATATATTATTATTTGTTATAGCAGGAGTATATTCCAATTAAGTTATCTACACTAAGAACTTTCAGTTAAATTATTGTCTACATCTTTTAAAAATCATTTTATTGGGGGCTTGTACAATGCTTATCACAATCCATACAAACATCCATTGTGTCAAGCACATTTGCACATTTGTTGCCATCATCATTCTCAAAACATCTGCTTTCCACTTAAGCCCCTGGTATCGGCTCCTCATTTTTTCCCATCCCTCCCCGTTCCCTCCTCCCTCATGAACCCTCGACAATTTACAAGTCATTATTATTTTGTCTTACACTGTCCAACATCTCCCTTCACGCACTTTTCGGTTGACCGACCTCCAGAGAGGTTATATGTAGATCCTTGTAATCTGTTCCCCTTTTCTACCCCACCTTCCCTCCATCCTCCTGGTATCACACCTCTCACCACTGGACCTGAAGGATTCATCTGTCCTGTACTCCCTGTTTCCATTTCCTATCTGTACCAGTGTACATCCTCCGGTCCAGCTGCATTTGTAAGGTAGAATTGGGATCATGATAGTGGGGAGGACGCACTTAAGAACTAGAGGAAAGTTGTATGTTTCATCGTTACTACACTGTCCCCTGACCGGCTTGTCGACATTTTTTAATAACTCATATTACTTAGGGAAGAAAAACCACTAGTCCTTAAGTATCTTGGTCTGCAAGGGCCAACACAGTCAACAGTATGTGTAGTACATAACCAATAGAGAAAAAAAAAAGTCATTAAATATTTCTCTGAGTTAGCCTATTAAAATATGTAGTCTATAGAATACTATGGTTTATTGAAATAACTATACAATGATTTAAAGATTTTACTACGTCAAACTTGCCTTACCCCTCACCTCTTTAATAGACTTGAGGTAATGTCCATTAGATGAACAACTGCTATGTAGCTGACATTTTTCTAGAGCCTGGGGATACAGTCAGCAGATAATGAAAAAAATACTTCAATTTGGGGAAGACAAACAAAAAAAAATAAGTAAAATATATGGTATGGACAATAAGCCTACAGATAAACACAAAAGATATGGGAGTGGAGGTGCTGAATTTCAATTCTGAAGTTTAGTTTTGTAGTAGATGTCAAAAAGCCAATTCCAGATGAATAAATAAAATATGGCATATATACAACGAAGTGACTAATGCCTCATAAAGAGAAATTAAAAACTGGTATATGTTACAAAAAGAATGAAGTCAGATAAAAAAGGGCAAATACTCATAGAATACATCTAGATTAAGCAAATGTATACTGATTAAGAGGGACTTGGTGATGTAGTGGGTTATGTGTTGGGATGCTAACCACAGGGTCAGCAGTTCAAACTCAGCAGTGGCTGTGAGGGTAAAAAGATAAAGTTGTGTGCTCCTGTAAAGATTTAAAGCCTCAGAAACCCAAAGGAGGCAGTTCTACTTTGCCCTATAGGGTCATTATGAGTCAGAACTGACTCAATGTAAGTGGGCTTGTGGCTTTTTTTGTTTTGTTTTTAAATTATTTTATTGGGGGCTCTTATAACTCATAACATTCCATACATCAATTGTATCAAGCTTATTTGTACATGCTGCCATCATTATTTCTAAAACATTTTCTACTTGAGCCCTTGGTATCAGCTCCTTTCCTCCCGCACACCCTCTCCCGCCCCCGTGAATCCTTGTTCAATTATATAGTTATTATAATTAAACATCTTACACTGTCCATTGTCTCCTTTCACCCACATTTCTGTTATTTGTCCCCTTGGGGGTGGGGGCTATATATCCAACATTGTGATGGATTCCCCCTGTCAACCCCTTCCCGCCCCTACCATTCCCCACCCTCATGATATCACTACTCCCACTACTGTTACTGAGGGGTTATCTGTCTTGAATTCCATGTGTCGAGAGCTCATATCTGTATCAACGTGTGTTCTCTGGTCTAGCCAGATTTGTAAGGTAGAAATGGGTCGTGGTAGTGGGCGGGAGGAAACATTCAGGAGCTAAAGGAATGATGTGCTTCATTGGTGCTATTCTGCACCTTGGTTAAATCATCCCTTCCTTATAACCCTTCTCTTTGTTTGTTTGTTTATACTAATTAATGGGTTAAGACAGAGGGGAGAGGAGGGAGTAACTGTTTAGAAAGCAGAGTTTCCCTTTACGCTGCTGAAAAGTATAGCCCAACCTGATACCAGTAAACTGTACAAATGAAAAAGGTTAAATTTGCAAGTGTCACATATTTTTACAAAAATAAAAGTTTTAAAATTTGAATTAAATAAAGCCTAAGCCACTGAGCTATAAATAAAGATGAAAGTCTGCTATGTGCTATGAGCTAGATAACCCTGAAGGCATACTGAGTAAAATAAGCCAGTCACAAAGGACACATATTCAATCATGCTACTTAGGCAAACATTTACCAGTGATTACCAGAGAAAGTAGAAGGGAGGATGGGGAATTACTGCTTAAAGAGTACTGGGTTTCTGTTTGTGGTGATGAAAATCCTTGGAAATGGATATGAAGGTCAGCAATGCAAATAAAATTAGTATCCCCAAACAGCACAATTTAAAAAATAGTTAAAAGAGTAATTTATTATATATTTACCACCAAACAAATTGTCACTCAAATAATGCCCAGTAAAACATAAGTGAGCTAGAAATACAGAAAGAACTATCAGAGTACTAGATACTACATTGAAGGAAATGAATCATGAGCAAACAGAATAAAGATGATTTCAAATGTATCTGTAATATTTTTGTCTCAAATTTAAGTAGCATATTCTAATTATGTTATTTGCACTGAGTTCCTTCCATTATGGAGTAAAGCTTGTGGGAGTAAAGTCTTCAGGGCCTTTACTTGCTGAGGGGCCACAACTCAAAATGAGAAGAAACAGCTGCAGACATGAATCAGTAAGTGAAATTTAGAATGCACTAAGTATGAATACAGGAAAATTGGAAGTTGTAAAAATGAAAAAGTTAAACCAAATATTACTTACGCTAACTGTCGTGTCCAAAGATGGAAATAATTTTTCAAGTACTGTATGTGTTCTGGTTGTACTCCTGTGATAATCACAGCAGTAAAGCTATCTTTTTCCTTCTCCTCTAAAATAAGATGATGTAGAAATCTTTCATCATCATTTGTAATGTGAACAGAATCAGATGGCTACAAGAGAAAATATATACATAATAAATTAGATGCACCCAAATTACACAAATACCATTTAGAAACGATTTTAATGCAATTCACTTGGATTTTTTTTGCCCCCCAGAAACTGACTTCAGAAAACTTTTGGAGGAAATCAGGACAATTTAAAAATGCAGCTAAGTATATAACACTGAAAACAGAAAAACTTACAAAGACTGCAAAATCTGAACATGTACAAGGACTCTATGATCCCATAATGCTGCTCAATAATCATAAACCAACTCTAGAACTACAAAGAAAGTGAAGACACAAACCCTGAGTAAGCATAGGTTGTGGGACTGCTATGACTTACTTTGGTCAAAACCAGTAAGCAACACTCCATGTTCAACAAAACTAGGAGTCAGTCTGAATCCAACTGGCTTGGCTAAAATGCACTGTATTTAAATATGAATAAAATAATCCTGGGCTTGGGTTTTTTTTTTCAGTTCAAGATATGCTCAGAAATGAATTCTTCCTTCTCAGTTTTCTAACTCAAGGTCTTTGCACATTTCATTATTATAATACTTCACTTTGTCTAGCTGTCCTTTGAGATTTTCTATTGGGTTCTTTTAGTTCATCATCTATTTTCTTCAGCTTCAACAGGAACCTTCCATATGAGTAACTGATGGTCTGTTCCACAGTCAGCATCGCTGTGTTAGCTGCTAATATGGAGTTCCATCGCCTCTTCCACAGATGTAGTCAATTTGATTTCTGTGGATTCCATCTTGAGAAGTTCACATGTAGCCACCTTTTGTGTTTAAAAAGGTATTTGCAATGAAGAAGTTGTTGGCCTTTTAAAATCCTATCATGTGATCTCCACTTTTGTTTCTGTCACCAAGGCCATCTTTTCCAACCACTGTTCCTTCCTCTTAGTTTCCAACTTTTGCATTCCAATTGCCAACAATTAACAATGCACCTTGATTGCATGTTTGACCCACCTCAGACTGAAATCATTGGTAAAATTTATCAATAACTTTAGTGATTGGTGCATAAATTTAAATAATAGTTATATTGAATGTGGATCGATATAATTCTATAACAGACAGCTTGGTACTCCAAAATAGACCTTAAAATGTCCTTTTTTCCCCATGAGGAAAACTCTTTTAGTATTTTATTTTTTTTAATCATTTTATTGGGGGCTCGTACAACTCTTATCATAATCCATACATACATCCATTGTGTCAAGCACAAAATGTCCTTTGTGACAATGACTGCAACACCATTCTTCTGGATTGCTGCATTCCCAGCACAGTAAATGATATGATTTTCTGATTCAACATGGCCAATAACTGCCCATTTCAGCTCAGTAATGCCTAATGTATCAATTTTTGTGTTCCAATTTATTTTTTTTACAACTGCCAACTTTCATTATATTCATGCTTCATGCATTCCAAGTTCCAATTATTACTTGATGTTTGCAGCTGTTTCTTCTCATTTTGAGTTGTGCCCCATCAGCAAATGAAAGTCCTGAAGGCTTTACTCCCTAAGCTTTACTCAATCCATGTAATTATGGCCAACTCTACTTTGAAAAGGCAGCTCCTTCCTCATTTTAAATGCCTTCCTAACTGAGGGACTCATCTGGCACTATCTCTACAATATTTTGCTGTTATTCATGAAGTTTTCAGTACGTGACAATGTTCCAGTACTAACCTAATTCCTCAAAGTAGACAGCCTATTCCTTTTTCATACGGTGTTGTTAGTCCAGAAGCTGAAACCTGTTCATTTTAAATGACCCTGCTATCTGAAATACAAGTAATATTGTTTCCAGTATCACAGCAAGGCACAAGCCACTCTATAACAAACTGATGGAGGTGTTCTGATAGTTTTATGTTATCATGCAAGGCCACTAAAAGATCAGTACTTGGCTCTACTTTCAAGTGCCAAAAAGTGATGAAAAGAAATTGTAGGTCTCGATATTGAGACAACTGTGCAGTTAGACCTTCTAAACTCTCAGATCACAGACATTGTGTGATATTCTTGAATTCCAACTCTAGCGGTGGTTATAGCACCAACTTTATGATTATAGCAGTTGCTGTGGCACTGTTCAAAGGTTGGTTCTGAATGTCCTGAACACATCCAAGAAAGCGCAGCCTAGAGTGTGACATTCTTCAGCCTATCCAGTAATCATGGAAACATCTAATTCCTTTTATGAAATCTTTCGTTGCCTAAGATGCTTAGAATAAGTTTATTTACTGAATAAGGACTAAGTCGAAGATTGAGATAAGTCTTGGCAAGAAATACACATACAGTTGTTAATTATATGTAATATACATGTCATGTACTATACTATGCTATATAGTATTACACATGCACAAAATTTCCAGGAAACAGTATAAATTAAGAACACCAACTAAAGGGAAAGAGTCCCTCCAAAAAAAGGAAAACAGGATGAAAAGAACTGGTATGACAAAGGAAAGAACTAGGCCTCTACTGTTGTTCATTAAATGTTTATTGGAATGACCAAACACAAAACAGAGAAAGCTGGTACAAAAATTAAGATCCCAGAGAATCCAGTTCAAGCACAGTTCTGCCATATACAAACCATTTTTAAAAATCATTTAAACTCTCAATTCATATTTTTAACCAATTTAAATTGACAAACAATATATCCATAAATATCCTTTATAGGGCTATAGGGCTTTATGATGGTAGGATAAGATGAAATCAGTTTAGAGATAGTTATTTAAATTGATCAACTTATATACTTGTTAAATGTAGTAGGTTTAAGAGTCTAAAAAGTAGATTAACAAAATGAAGAAATTTTCTGAATAATAGAAGAACATTAAGTTAGAAAGATAATAAAAATTAGTTAACAAGCAGGAGCTTTGGTGGTAGTGGTTAAATGTTAGCTGTTAACCACAGGTCAACAATTTAAAACCACCAGCAGCTACAGAAAAAAAAGTTAAGATTTTCTACTTCCACAAAGAGTTGCTGTGTCAGAAACTCACAGGGGCAGTTCTATACTGTCCTACAGCATCACAATGAGTTGTAACAGAGTTAATGGCTGTGAATTTAAAATTAAGAAATAAGAGGGGAATTGGAAGCGCAGGGAATGTAGGACGGAAGAAACTCTCAGGACCGGGGGTGAAGGGGGCGATATCAGGAGGGAAAGGGGAGGTAGTAAGGGGGAATGGATCACAGGGAGCCACATATGGCCTCCTCTCTGGGGGACGGGCAGCAGCGGGGTGGGTGAAGGGAGGCGCCGGACAGTGTAATGTAAGATACAAAAATAATTTATAAATTATTAAGGGTGCATGGGGGAAAGGGAAGGGGAGGGGGGGAAAATTTAAAAAAAAAGGAAAATGAGCGGATTCCGGGAACCCAAGAGGCAAGAAAATTTTGGGAATGATGAGGGCAACAAATGTATAGATGTGCTTTACACAATTGATCTATGTATTGTGACGAATTGTATGAGCCCCAATAAATTGATTAAAAAAAAAAAAAAAGAAAAAAATTTCCAAAAAAAAAAAAAAATTAAGAAATAAGCATAAGATACAATATATCCACACCTCACCTACTGATACAGGTCGGTTCCAAAGACCAGGTTGTTATGCAAAAATTGGCATAATACAAAAAATGGAGGATGATCATGACAGATCATTAAATGAAGGGTGACTGCCTTATTACACAAATATCTGATAACATAACTGCCAAATCACTAAGAATCATAGCCCAGCCAAGATGACACAGAACTTTAACCATCACAGTCAGCAATATTCTTGCCTTACACCTGAGCTTTACTGCCAAATGTATGCACAAAAAACAGGGGCTTCAAAAAGTTCATAGAAAACATTCATTATCTTTTAATTTCACTTTTCCACAATATTTTTAGTCTCTTCATCATTAGATTTTTTTATTGCTGTTATAAATGGTGTCGAATAAAAATAAGTGAGGCATAGGTGTATAAACAGTCTCCTAGTAATGAATCTACCAAGATTTTGCTGCTTTGTTCTCTTCATTCTTTTAAAGAAACGTGTAACTTCCACATGCCAATTAGGAATGTATATGAATTTTAGCCAAGTTTTTAGGAAAACAACTTTGTAATAAAAAGTCGGAACATTTTATAAACGCATTACCACGGTTATTCAAACTTCAACAATCTCTATGAAGCACAAATGACTTGTATTCAACTGCAAACCTGATTTGAACCCACCCAGTGCCAATGCAAAACAAAAGTCTGTAAACTATTTCCTTACAGGCTACAGCCAAGAATACCCTATAGTGGAGTTCTAAGTCAGTATTGTATGAATTTGCCATGAGGTGGAGTCCACTCAACAGCAGGGAACAACCAGAACATTATTGGAAAAATCATGGCAAAATTTTATGCAAAGAACAGCTGCTTTGAAAGGGATCACATTAGAAAGTCCTGAATAGAACGGAAATAGTTTGGAAATTAACTCAACACTGTGGCTGTTTTCAACCACAGACATTAACAGTAACACTATGAAAGTATGAACACCTCAGAATAATTAGTCATTTGAGATCAAAAGGGAAGCATTTATATAAGGACAAATTTCAGTGGGGTTAGGAAAGGTAAAGGAATAGAAACAGGAAACATGGGAAGTAGTATAAAAGTGATGTTACATTGTGGGGACTGCTTTCAATTACCATGAAATTTGCATAAACTCTTGAAAGAGAAGTGATTTGTTTTGTAAACCTTCAATCCAATTCACAAAAAATTAAAAATATATGCATTGACACAATATCATTACAAAAAAACCCTAGGACTATGTCAATGGTTCAACAAAGAAATTAATAGGATATTCAAAGAAACATAATGAAACCATTTCAAAATGACTTGTGTACCCAAAAAATTCTGTAACATAAGGGAATATTTCAAAATACTGTATATAGTAGTGTATAAGCCGTTTTTCAGCACATTCTTTATGCAGTTTTTGTGATAAAATTAGGTGCCTCGGCTGATATTCGAGTCGGCTTATATTCGAGTATATCTGGCAGTTTTTAGTGGAAGGTTAATCCACCAAAATATTTTTAATAATTTCCCTTAGTATTTGGGATCATTATTTTCTTTATACTTCTTATGTAATTTTCTACAGTTTCTTTTAGAGCCAAAAAGAATCTTCAAAAAGTTCAAACTTAAAAGATTTAAAGTGAAAAATTAGTTCATTTTAAAAATTCCCTTAAGTTTTTAATAAACCATCAATACAGGTATCTTAGACAGAAATAGAAGAAAAAAAAAACACAGAAAAAAAACCTTGCTGTGATAGTAACTCCCCCAAAGAATAAATTTATTATTATTGAGTCAAAATGTAACGTACCTTCCTGTTTCTAATGTATCCACTGTATATTGCCTCTTTATTTTTCTCCTTCTTCTCAAAATCATCTTTAGAGAGCAAAAGTTCATGGACATCATGGGAATCTGCAGGTTTGCTTATCATCTGTTAAATTTAAAAAGTATTAAATTCCTAATTAATTTCATTGGTTTCTTAATTTAGGTAGTGTCAATATCAAGATATTTCATCAAACTTCATTTGTAAATTTTTTCTTTACTTACTCTGGCTGACTGTCCAACAAAGAAAACAGCCTGCTTGCCGCCCACACCAAAATAGGATATATCACTATTTAAACTGCGTGGCACTGGTACTGGGCGAACATATCCTGAATGATCACTAAAATAAAACATATGATTAACACAGTCATTTTTCAACAAGCTACTTAGCCATGAAGGGAATTTTTTTATTAACTTTTATTAAGTATAAGTAAAATGACCACCAAGCTGAAGAGCACCTTTATTACAGGTAACAGAATCAGAGCTCGAAGACTATACAACACATATTCTGAAGGGTTTCTCAAAGTGTCGTCCCAGATGACCAGCACCTGGGAACTTTAAGAAATGTAGATACCTGGGCCCACCCTACTATATTAGAAAATCTCTCAGCAATCTGAACTAAAGGAATGTCTTTGTCCTCATAAATTGTTAAACAGGAACTTGATTTGCTGTGCAAGTTTTCACTAAAAACAAAGTAAAATAAATTAAAAATGAAACAAAGGAAAATTCTAATGGAAAACCTTCCAAAACCAGAAACCAAACTCACTGCCATTGAGTCAATTCTAAAAACCTTAAGGTCAGAAAATGTCAAAAGACAATTTTCCTATTTTAAAAATCTCCAAAGATAATGATTATACAATATATGTCAATGTAAGATGCATAACGCTAAAGCATAAAAACCAAGATGTATATAATGAAACACACATGCTGTTGTAATGCATTTATATTATGCATGAAATGATAGTATTAGTTGATGTACGCCTTGATAAGTTAGAGATGCATACCAAAAATCCAAGTTACTGGTAAAATAAAAAGTGTTACTGGTAATAAGCCAACCAAGGAAATAAAACACAATCACATATAAAAAATATTCAGTCCAAAATAAGGCACAAAAAAATAGAAAGGGGGTTAAAAACCAATAGGGAAATATACTAATAGCAAGAAAGCAAATTTAAACTCACACACAGCAACATTAGGATAATTGGTCTAAAATACCAGTTAAAAGATCTTCAAATCGCAAGGCATAATTATATGCTGCCTACTGACCTGGTAATCTGCCCCCACAAAGAGTTAAGTCTGGAAACCCCCGTGGGATAGTAGTCCTGCTCTGTCCTAGAGGGTTGTTATGAGCAGGACTTGACAATAGGAAAGAGATAATAGATCAACAGAAACAGTTTTAGCATATTTTATTTACCATTGCATTTGCTCATTTCATGGTTTGCTCTTCATTCCCTGGAGATAATTTTTTCTCTGAGATTTATTTTATTGGTATTGCTATCAGTACGATAGTTTTCTTTTCCTTAGTGTTAAAACATGGTAAAACTGTTTCTGTATACATTATGTCTGTATGTACTACTACATATATTGATAACACCTCAGACTATTTTAAAAAATATTTTTAATAATTATTAAAAGTAATAGTCTGAGGTGTTATCAATATATGTAGTAGTACAAACAGTACATACAGACATAATGTATACAGTTGTCCCTAGAAAATAACCAAAGTCACTGCCATCAAGTCAATACTGACTCATAGTAACCCTATAATGCCAGAGTAGAACTGCACCTATGGGTTTCCAAGCAGCTTAATTCTTTACTAATTTATCTCGATAAATGAATGGTAGTTTTGAACTGCTGACCTTGTGGTTAGCAGCCCAATATATATAACCACTATGCCACCAGAGGTCCAAGTTATCCCTAGAACAATTAAATCACACACAAAGACAAGCACAAACACAGACATATTTTTTTAATTACAGATAAAGTAAACGTAATTCTAAAATGTTAAAGTAATCCACAATTTTAATAGAAATAAAAAATAAATAAAAGAAACAATGAATAAGTGGTAAAATGACAAAATTAAATCCTAATGTATCAATAATTACAGTAAATAACCTACAGTAATAATCTAAATATACCAAATGAAATTTGAAGAGTGGATTTTTTTTTTAACATTTTATTAGGGGCTCATACAACTGTTATCACAATCCATACACATACCAATTGTGTAAAGCGCATTTGTACATCATTCTCAAAACATTTTCTCTCCACTTAAACCCCCGACATTAGGTCCTCATTTTTCCCCTCCCTCCCCACTCCCCCCTCCCTCCTGAGCCCTTGATAGTTTATAAATTGTTATTTTGTCATATCTTGCCCTGTCCGACGTCTCCCTTCACCCACTTTTCGGTTGTCTGTCCCCCAGGGAGGAGGTCACGCACAGTTCCATGTAATCGGTTCCCTCTTTCCTACCCATTCTCCCTTTACCCTCCCTGTTTCGCCACTCACACCACTGGTCCTGTAGGGCTCATCTGCCCTGGATTCCCTGTATTTTCAGTTCCTATCTGTACCAGTGTACATCCTTGAAGAGTGGATTTTAAAACTACCCAAAAAACCAACCAAACCAAAAATAAAACCACTACAAACATACTGAAATAAAACAAACCAAGATCTGCAACTATACTGAGGGACTTCAAACCTTGAGGGATGCGGTTACAGTGGTTCAAAGAGGAAAACTTATAGCATAAATATTCATATAAGGATATCAAATCAATAATCTAAGATACTACCTGAAAAATGAGAAAAACAGTGCAATAAATGCAAAGCAAGCAGAAGGAAGAAAACAATAAACAGCACAGTCTATGAAACTGATATGAGAAAAACAAATAAACAAAATCTGAAAGCTTGCAAGTGGCCACTCAAGGCACAACAATCTGTCTCTATTCACTGGGAAGAAGACAGAATAGACTCTGCGTGGGTAACCGTCTCCTTTGCTATGTGATCAGAAAAGCTGGACAGTGTCTGCCTACCAGTACTGAACATTGTGATGAAAGATTCTGTAGAATAATGCTGATCAAAAAAAGAGAAATTCAAAATGGACATTCAAAGTCTCATAGACCCAGAATTTCTGGAGCAAGAAAGGGTGGATGAACCCCCCAAACTATTGCCCTGAGATATTCTTTAGTCTTAACTTAAACCAAAAATACCTCCTGAAGTCATCTTAAAGCCAGTCATTAAACTTTTTTTTTCCTCCTTAAGCTCTTTTAAGTATTATCTGCATAGGATCAAGCAATTTGAAAGATCACACAGTGAATATATGCTAAAGGGTGAGGAAAAATTCAGAAAAGAAGAGCAAAATGGTCAGGTAACTCAAAGGTAGTCAACAACACTCAAGGGCAAACTGTTGCTGTTGTCGTTTTTAGGTACCACCGCGTGGTTTCCAACTCACAGAAGCTCTATGCACAGCAGAACCAAACTGCCCAGTTAGAAGCCTTCTCATAACGGTCCCTCTGCTTGAGCACATGGTGGCAGCCCCTGTCCATCCAGCTCATCAAGGGCCTTCCTCTTTTCACCGCCCCTCTACTTTCTAAGCATGATGTCCTTCTACAAGGACTAGTCTCTCCTGACATGTCCAAATATGTAAGATGAAATCTCACCATCCTTGCCTTGAAAAGTATTCTGGCTATACTTTTTCTATGCTAGATTTGTCACCTTTAGAAACTGATAAATTGGTGTGAGTTGCTGAGAATATTCTCGACAACAAAATAAAAATTTAGAGCTGGGAAGAGGGTAAGACTTTACCAAATAAATGAAAAAGCAAGCTACCAACTGGGAAAATATCTTTAGAAACCATACATCTGACAAGGATCTAATAAGACAGTTTTAAAATTATCTAAAAGCAGTAACATCAAGGGTTTATCCAGCCTCTCTTGGCTCCAGAAATTCTGGAATCCATTATAATTTGAAATCCTATTCTGATCTCCCAACTCCACCCCACTCCTCCACTACCATCTCCCATTGTTGCTCAGGATTCTTCTACAGAATCTTTGACAAAATGTTCAGTAATGATAGTGGGAGTGGGGAGGAAACATTTAGGAACTAGAGGAAAGTTGTATTTTTCATTGTTGTTACATCGCACCGTCTGGCTCGTCTCCTCCCTGAGACCCCTCTGCAAGGGGATCTCCAGTGGCCTACTGATGGGTTTTGGGTCTCCACTCCGCACTCCCCCCATCATTCACTATGGTAAGATTTTTTGTTCTGATGATGCCTTATACCTGATCCCTTCGACACCTCGTGATTGCATAGGCTGGTGTGCTCTTCCATGTGGGCTTTGTTGCTTCTGAGCTGGATGGCCGCTTGATTACCTTCAAGCCTTTAAGACCCCAGAGGCTATACTTTTTGATAGCTTGGCACCATCAGCTTTCTTCGCCACATTGCACGTCTGGCTAGACCAGAGGATGTACACTGGTACAGATAGGAACTGGAAATACAAGGAATCCAGGGCGGATGATCCCTACAGGACCAGTGGTGGGAGTGGCGATACAGGGAGGGTAGAGGGAGAGTGGGTAAGAAAGAGGGAAACGATTACAAGGAACTATATGTGACCTCCTTCGGACAGGGCAAGATATGACAAAATAACAATTTATAAACTATCAAGGGCTCATGAGGGAGGGGGAAGCGGGGAGGGAGGGGAAAAATGAGGACCTAATGCCGGGGGCTTAAGTGGAGAGGAAATGTTTTGAGAATGATGAGGGCAATGAATGTACAAATGCGCTTTATACAATTGATGTGTGTATGGATTGTGATAAGAGTTGTATGAGCCCCTAACAAAAAATAAATAAATAAATAAATAAAAATGTTCAGTTCTTCTGGCCTCTATTGGATTTTCTTTTTCTGTTCCGGACTTTCCTTCCTCTGTTGCTCTAGTAAACAATTGTTATACCTTGCATGGCCACTTGGAAGCTTTTAAGGTGTCAGACTAACTAGGAGGTGGAAGAAAAATATTAAACACAGCATTAAGTCAATTAACAAGGATATCCCACGAAACCAGAAGCCTGAATCCGCAAACCAAACAACCAAATCCCATGAGGTGTTAGGCTGTACATAAGCAGCCTAAGCAGCTGCTCTTTTTGTTGAAAATACATCAAAGTATAAGATTTACTGACATCAATTAATCAGCTATGCAACCATTATCCATAATGCAATTTTTCCATCCCCATAAACACAAACTCAGTACTTCATAAGTACTATCCTGCTTTACCCCCTCCCTCCTATCCCTGGTAACCACTAATAAACTTTGTTTTTATCTTTTATGTAAGTGAACTCATATAATATTTATGCTGTTGTGAATGCCTTATCTGACTCAGTGTTATGTCTTTAAATTCCACCTGTCTGTCTTGGCATTCCATTGTATATACAAGGAGGGGACTTCATAAAGTTTGTGGGAAAATGAAATGAAAAAATACTTGCATTCTTACACAAACCTTTGATGCCCCTTCATACATATCACTGTTTATCCAGTTATCACTGGGTTGGCTTCACCTTTCGGTGACTGTGAGCAGTGCTTCAATTAACACTGGTTCTCTTCTCACTGTTACATTCAAGCCCTTGTATGTATTCTTAGCAATGGAGTTGCTGAACCACTGCTAGAACCTAGGTGTCAATATATGAACGAACATCTACTTAAGGTGACCAGATTTTAACATTGGTAAGCGGGACAAAAGCAGGATACCATTGATAAAACTCATATCCTGGCGAAATAGCCACATGGCAGCTGAAAGCCGTATACCCTAGTTTGTTGTGTATTCTTTCCAAAAATCGGGACTTTTAAAAAACGCAGCGGGATGTGGGAAAAATTGTTAAAAATCAGGACTGTCCCTCCAAAAGTGGGACGTCTGGTCACCTTACATTTACTGGAAAATCGAAACTTTTCTGTATGTTCCTAATAGTGTTGATGACAACAGTCAGATCCTGATTGTGGACAATTCTACAGAAAAATTAGCCTGAACACTACAAAAAATAACAGTATCATGTAACACACAAAAGTGAGAAATTATCATAAGACTAGAGAGACATGAACATATGAATATAGACATGATAAATTTCATGGGTGTGAATAATGTTCCTTATGAGGATGTCTTTATTCTCGAGCACATGCAGTAGTAGTTAGTAGTAAGATGTCACAAGTCTACAACATTTAACTGATATAAAGAAAGTGCCTGTATACATATGTTTATATAGATAGATACCAAATATGGCAATTGATGAATCTTGGTAAAGGATACATGAGTACCAGTAATATTCTTAGCATTATCTGTTATTTAAATTTTTGAAAAATAGAGTGAGGAAAGCAGGAAGTTTATAAGTGAACAAGATCTATGAAGAATATAATTGAAGCACTAACTCATCTCCCTTTACATTCTCCTTCATCTATCAAGCTCCAATCCCAATGGTCTTTCTGCTCCTCAAACAAAATAAACGTGGCACAATTTTGGAATCTTAGCTTTTGCTGGTATTAATTCCTCCTAATCATTTGGGTTTCAACTGGGAGAGGCCTTCTTTACCATCTTACTGAAAGAGATTCCCATCATGCTCTACCATTACTCTATTTCTTTAGCAATAAACAATCAATGAAATGCTTACAAATGTATTTTTTAGTATTTACTTTTGTTACCCTTTCCACTTGAACACAAACAACCAAACCAAGAAAACAAACCCAGTGCCATCTTGTCAATTCCAACTCATAGCAACCCTGTATGATATAACAGAACTGCTCCTCTGGGGTTCTGGGACTTTCCATCTTTACGGGATAGATAGCTGGTGGGCCCAAACCACTGACTTTGTGACTTGTAACTCAATGTGTTGCTCTACACCACCCGGGCTCCTTCAGCATAAACTAGAAGCAAAGACTATTTGTCTGATGTTCTGTCCTTTTACACCCGCCTTCTCTTTGCACTTTCTATCATTGGGAAAAGTATACTGGCATTCATTTTATATTTATTGTAAAAGCCAAACTATAAACAGTAGCCCAAACCAAAACCCAATCTTTGTTTCAATTAAATTCCAATTCACAGTGACCCTACAATTATGAAGGAAGTAGCTCAGTGTTTCTGAAACTATAAATTTTTATTGAAGCAAACAGCTCGTTTTTCGCCTCAGAAATGACTGGTGGGCTTGAACTGCAATCTTGCAGGTAGCAGTCCAATACTTAACCCACTGTGTCAAAAGGCTCCTAAGAAACAGTGATAACTTGTTTTTTTCTAGAAGAGAAGAAGTTGCTAGAGGGGCAAAGGGAAGAGTATCTGATACTGACAAACTGTAAAAGGTCAAAGAGCTGATCCTGTTCTGAAAGACGATCCAAAACCGTTATAAGAATGGCTATTTGCTTATGGAAACCGTATCTATATCAAGCTAGAGCCAAAAGCAACAACATGCAGATTTTTGCCAACAACAGAACAAATCTCCATAGCATTTGGGTTAAGTTTGAAAGTTTGTGTTTGGTAAGGTTTAGAGAAAAGTCAGAGGCAGTTTCATTAAGCCAGTCAAGACTTTAAACTTACTTTAATAAATTGTAGGCTCTTCGTTCTACTCTTTCCATTAAATGACTGGCTCATTTTTCTGATCTTTCTGTCCTATCTACCATCTGTTCTACCTAACACAAGGGCTTGAAAGAATTCATAGAAAAATGCAATTTAAGATAGTGGAGTTTTTCCATACACTATTCGAAAACCTTTCGTATGTTAATCTACCATGTGCTAAATTCCATCTCCACCCCACCACCACCCTTAATTCTATCTTTAGCTTTCTCTTTGGCTCTTTACGTCTTTAGAAGCAGGATGTGTTTGTGAAAAACAAGAGTTGTAGAAAAGTTTGAGGTCAAGAACAGAAAGTAATCACTAATGACAGTTCATATTTATACAGACTCTAAGGATTTTGCATGCATTAGCCTATCTGGTCCTCACAAACGTTATGAGGTATTTCTCCCATTTTACAGATGTGAAAAGTGAGGCATAGAAAAGTAAAAAAGCACCTGACCAATGCTCGCAGTAACCACTACGCCATCAAGGCTCCTATATGCCTGACAGTTCTAGCATATTTTGTTTCCCTCATGACAATCTTAAAATAATTCCATGTTCTGGTGTAATTGACTCACTGGAGTCAATTCCTTAAACCATTGTTAAGGTTTTGGGATCCAGAGCCCCAAATGTAGAACAATACTGTGTCTGTACCAGAGCCATCAAGTGATTTCTAAACCAATTACGAAGCGATCCCACTGCTCTAGAGGCTACAGCTTTCACCAAATTTAAATTGGAAAGAGGAAAGACTGCAAAGTGCTCAGCATATTCACATAACTCCTACATACCTCAGGAAACACAAAACAAATGGTTCAATGGGAAGTATTATTTTATGCAGCTTTACCTGTTTTTCAAGTATTGGTCATACAAATTCTCTAATAAAAAAACACATGTTTAGAACAGCAAACACTCCCATTCAATGTGAAAACCTAAAGGAATATTTCAGTTTTCAGTTTTATTAAAACACACCACTATCCATAAAACCAAACCAAACAGTGAAAAGGGTTTTCTAACCTTTCAAAGTCACCTTGCCTTGTAAATTTTGACAACCTATAGACAGCCCAGTTGTTAAGCTGTTTAGAGGTCATTCCTCTTCCATTATCTATCACTGCAACGGCAGGTTTTCCTTGCGCTTCATCAAAAAGCTATGAAACAAAATAAGTTTAAAAAGACAGGAAAAGTCAAACCAATATAAAAAATATAAAATGTTAGTATTAAAAAAAGGTAATTTAATGGGCTCCTTCATACATTGTTGATGGAAATGTAAATCACACAACTTTCTGAAAGCTACTTCAGCTATATGTCTCAAAGACCTTAAAATTCTATATGCCTATTAACTCAATCTCCATTTCTTGGAATATAACTAAAGGAAATAATCAGAAGTATGCGACCTGTTAATGTTATCCACCATCCCAGCATTACTTACAATGGCAAAAAATACAGGAAAAAAATCTGACTACAAAATTTTTATTATAGCCAATACACCATTCTACAACAATGCAATACAGTATTGCAGAATATTCGTGATTCAAGAATGTTTACAATGGACTCTTAAGGGAAAGTTGATTACAAATGAAACAGATGTGGTCACACATACATGTATACATATACAAAAGGGATTCAAAAAAGTTTGTGGAAAAATTCCATTATTTTTTATTCTATTTTTCTATTAACTTTTGGAAGCCCCTTCAAATGTATACAAAGGCACATGAAAAATGATACCAGTGGATAAATTAATATCAGATAATTATTTTTGTTTTTAGTTTATCTTTGCTAATTTTTCTTTAACAAACTTACTATTTATATCAAAAGGAAAAGTTAAATTGCTTTATATTGTTTTCTTACCAATTTGATCTGTATTCTTCTTATACCATTGTTACGAGAAGTAGCAGACAATGAATTGTCAATTAATTCAGCAAGAGCAAATGCTGGAAGAGATTGAAAAAATATAAACTTTTCCTTGCCAAATACTTCACATAAAAACTCAAAGTAAAAGAAACTCTGAAGTACCTTTAGTCATCACTTTTATTTTCCAAAGAGCTAGAATTAAAGCGTTATCTGGATCCTAATGCTACAATACACACCCGAAAGGCATCATCACCAATCACCACCAGCATAAAAAAGCAGTCACTACATAACATGAGTCAGCCAGCCATGATTCCTGGCTTCAGGAAATTTATAATCTAAAGACAGACATACAGACATAAGGAGACAAACAGAAGACCATAACCATAAAAACGAGAAGTAATCTGTGCTGTGAAATTATATCATACACAAGTCAAAATCAAGCACATTTAGAAGTGTAGTGCAAATAAGAAGCAATCAGAAAAGTATCTCTTATAAGTTAATTGAGGTAAAGAATTCTGTGGCTTACACAAAATTGTGAAATGGGAGCATGTGTCTGCTTTAACTGACATAGAGCTGCTCTTCATTCCTTACAAACAATGAACATGACATTCAGTTTTTCACTGGCTCTACACTATTAATTAATGTTCTCTTTTCTTCAAGGATACTATGTAAACTATAGCTTTTATTCCCTTTATTTAAAAGGACCACATGATAACTTTGATACTTTCACTGAATTAATCCAACTAAATCTGTAACTAAACCACAAAATAGCACTCTAGCCAACAACATATACTCACCATAGCACTGAAGCGTGGCTATATTTATAAGCTGGTTTATAATCGTTATAACACATTAGATACAGTAGCAAGTCAAACACTATTGCTACTGGTGTTCCAGTTCATACATGCATGGGTTTAGTTCAAACAAAACATGTCACTGTGATCACTGGTGTGGTAGTTACATAATCTCCTGTCAACCTGAGGGTATTAAGAGTTAAGGGGTGGAGTTCTAGCCTGTCAATCAGGTCACAGCCTGATGATGCCTCCTTGTGGACATGGACCTCTCCAGAGGATTTTGAGAACTTTCTCTTTCTGCCCGGCCGCTTCCTGTTGACAAGCCACATGGAGCCTCACTGATGGCAGCCAGAGTCCTGGAAACGCTTCCACCGCCATTGGACCCACAGGACTTTCCACCCACCAGCCTGTGATCTTCTAGCAGATGCTGCATGAATCTGAAGAGAATTTCATGGGCTGTTATGAACTATGGACTTGATCTGGACTGTGCTGGGGTGTTTCATTGATGTGTAATTACTTCTTGATAAAAATTTTCTCTTGCACATATTAAGTGTCAATAAATGTTTCTCTAGTCAACCAGACCAACACAAATGGATAGCTGCAGACAAAATACTTTTTGTGCCATGAAAAAAGATTACTTTGAGGTCAGGTTTAATATAAAGTTTTTAGCAATGCTCAACTGGTCATCTTTCCAAATCATTGAAAGTTTGCAGCAACTTTATAGGAATACTACTCCATATTTAAAAAAAATTTAAGTTGTTAGATAGCTCGTGTTGTTAAGAAAGGTTGGGAAGACCTCAAAGATTAGCCAGTAGAGGGAAGATCATCTATTTCTATGAATGAAAAACCTGACTGATATTCAGAAACTGGTGAAAGACCTAGAATTAAAATTGATGGGGCAGCTACTGAAAATGGGCACTAATAGAAAGTGCACACATAGGCCTCAGCAAGCTTTGGGCTCAATGGCTGTCAAAAAACACCGCACAAAGATCTTTTGTTCCCCTTAAACTTTTTACCAATAATTACATGAAAGTTTCTAGAGCAGATCTTAATTTTACATTCAACAATTTGCATACAATTTGTTTCCTCTCATTCACTGCAATCCCATCAATGTAATGTCACTTAATCTACTTCCTCTCGTTTCCCGATTCCACTCCTACTCCTATCCTAAGCTTTCTGAACTTTGTCCTTGGGTAAATGTTGCCCTTTGGATCTCAAATAGTTGATTATACTAAGGTGTGCATTCCTTACTAGTATCAATATTGTGTATTGTTTGGCTGAAATTTTAGGAATAGGGATGAGATTAGCCCCATACCTGAAAAATGACTATGGGATTTTAAGCAAGACTGAAGCAAATGAAAACAATTTTATGACACTAATTATAATCCAGGACATCTCAGTTTTAACACTATAAATCCAGATAGCAAGGTCCAATCAAAACAGTCGTTCCCAGGGTTATCTGCTAGACCAGTTCAATTCAAGGCAGAGAGGTCAGCTTATAAGATTATGCGACTAGTTTTTGAAATTTCAAAATTGTAATTTTTGATAAATTTTATCAAAGGACACAGGATTACCACAGGGGCTTATTTGGGAGAAGTGTTAAATAAACTGAAAACTGCATAGGTAAGATAAGTCAGGAAAGTTTTCCTGAGGAATATTTTTAGTCAGCAATGCATCTGCTCATTTTTCAAGGGTACCAAGCACTTTCCTCCAAGAATTTCATTGGGAAATCTTACCCCATTCACCCTATTGCCCTGATCTTGACTATTCAGACTTTTTTGTTCCCCCAAACTCAAAAGAACACTTAAAAGGAATATAATTTAAAAGTGTCTTCTTGACAAAGTGTAAATTGACAGCACAGATTTTTCTTGAGGAAGGATTCCAAAAATCACAACAATTCACTGCCATCAAGTTGATTCTGAATCACAGTGACTCAATAGGACAGAGTAGAACTGCCCCACTGGTTTCCAACATTGTAATCTTTTATGGGAGTGGAAAGCCCCATCTTTCTGTCATAGCAGCCTAATGTGTAACCCACTACACAGGTGGAAACATTGCCTTCAGAAGTACATAGGCCTAGATGGAAAATAGGTCAAGAAGCAAGAGCTTCACATTTTGAGTTTTGTTTAAAAAGGTTTCCATGGTTTTGTAGCAATGCTTTTTTTATTTATCCTTGTTTGTATGAGGATAGTACTCTAGAAAACAGAGAGGAAAGAATTAGAGGATGGTTTAAAGTTTGCCTCTAGAAGACTGGGTAAATGATAAAAGTGGGGTTTAGAAAGTTGTTAGAAAATTTTCATTATCTTTTCATTCCATTTTTCCATGATCCTTTGGAAGCTCCCTCATAAATCCCATCAGGGGAAATTTAGAGGGTATACAGAAAAATTCTACTTTAGATACTGTGCCTTATCAAACTCAATGAGGAGGGGGAGAAGTTATACATCGATCATTGCAATCAGTTTCCCCTTTCTCCCCCTTCTCCTCCCACCTTCCTCCTACCCTCCTAGATGGCCGCTTCCCTGTTAAATGGTTGCTTGTTTAATTTCAAACCTTTAAGACCTCAGATGCTATATCTTTTAATAGCTGGGCACCAGCAGCTTTCTTCACCACATTTGCTTATGCATCTTTTTTACTTTAGCGATCATGTCAGGAAGGTGATTATCACTGAATGCCAGGTTATTGGAACAAAGCGTTCTTGTGTTGAGAGAGGACTTGGGTAGAGGCCCAATGTCCGTCTGCTGCCTTGATACTTAACTTTTAAATATATGTATGCAGACCTATATCTGTATCGTTATATATTAATATATTTACATGTCTGTATTTATACCTCTATAATTGTCTTTTGCCTCCTAGTTCTTTCCTCTATTTCCTTTTACTTTCCTCCCCTTCCACTATCATGTTCAACCTTTGTTTGGCTCTCAGTAATTCCTCTCGACTACAATTTATAATAAATTCTAGAGTATGTTCATAAACAATAGGGGCTTTGGAAAAAAAAGAATCAACAGTAAGAACACATGGGAAAACACATGTGCAATTTAAAATGAGATGGCAAGGTAAGCGTAGGTGAAATGGTAACAGATAAATAGGCTTGAATGAGGTGAGGAAATGAGATAAGGGCTATGTAATGGAAAGCATTCCAGACATGGGGTCCTAAACTGTGGATGGTATGTTAGAGAAACAGCAAGGCAGCCAGTGTGGTGAGCACAGAGAAGAGCAGGAAAATGCAGTCAGGGAAGTACAAAGCAGGATTGCTAAGGCCTTTTAGGTAATCATAGACTTTAACAACATTACAGGCAGTCATGAGTGTTCTCAGAAGAATGGCATAATCGACTTATTAGTCACTACGCAAAGAAGAATAGGAACAAAGAGAGCGAGATCTGTTATGAAGCTGCTGTTTACTCCAGGTCAACATGATGGCAACTCAGATCAAATGCTAGTAAAAGAGGCTGTAAGAAATGATCATTACTATACAAATACTGAAGGTGATAATTTCCTGAGATACTGAAAGTGAGTTATTGAATGGGACAAAGAGTCTACTTGATTGTGATTTGAGCAACCGAAAAGATGAAATGGTGATCAACTAGGAAGGGGAAAACTATACATAGTACAGGGATTAGTAAAAGAGACCAGAGCAGATGAACAGACAAACTGGAGTTCACGAGAAGTTGGCACGATTTCCAATAGTTAAGTTATAACCATTTATCAGGGTCTCCCTTTGGGAGTTACTGTGATAAAGAAGTATTTAAAGCCATAAGGATACACGGGAATACCAAGGAAGAGGGAAGATAAAAGTACCAAGGACTAAGTTCTGAGACACTGTAATATTACAAACGGTGACAGAAGAGAGAAAGCAGACCGTGCAGGAGGAAGAAAACTAAGCGACTGTCTCTCAAAAGACAAGTGAAAAGGTCTATTAAGGAAGAAGATGTGATAAAGCATGTCAAATGGTAACACAGGTAAAATGGGAACTGAAAAATGATCAATGGAGTTAGTCACTTGAACCTTATAAAGATAACTTTATAAAAAATGTTTGAGGTAAACATTAGGTCACAGTGAATGGGACAGCTTGGGAGCAGGAGAAACACTGCAGACAGTGAACACAATTTTTCTAAGGAGTTTTGCAGTCAACAGGAGTAAAATAATTTAGGAGCCCATTGGGCTAAGTGATGTAAGATTTTTAAGATGGGTGAAATATAAGCTTGTTTGTACAAAGTGAACAATGTGGGAAGTAATAAATGTACTAAGAGTTCAACCTCTGAAATCACACTGCTAGGGTTCATATGCTATTTATTAGCAGTATGGCCATTAAGAAGTTACCAAAAACCTCTTTATCATCAATTTCTCCAGCAAAATAGTCAATAATAAGTCTGGTTAAGAATTAAGAGAGAGAACCCCTTGGGAGCAATACTGAGAGTAGTGATACCAGGAGGGTAGGGGGAAGGTAGGGGAGAAAAAGGCAACGGATCACAATGATCTACATATAACTCCCTCCCAGGGGAACGGACAACAGAAAAGTGGGTGAAGGGAGACATCGGTCAGTGTAAGACATGACAAAATAATAATAATTTATAAATTATCAAGGGTTCATGAGGGAGGGAGGATGGGAGAGGGAGGGAAAAAATGAAGAGCTGATACCAAGGGCTCAAGTAGAAAGAAAATGATGATGGCAACAAATGTACAAATGTGCTTGACACAATGGATGTATGTATATATTGTGATATGAGCCCCCAATTAAGTGATTTTTTTTAAAAAAGCATTAAGTGAGAACGCTTATCAAGTACTTGGCACAACATGCCAGGCCCTACAGCTCACAGCAGTATAAGTAATAACAGTAGTCACAATATGTAAAGAATGTGCACTGAGATTTAATCACAGGAATAGTCAGTTATTTGTAACAATAAAATCAATGAAAACAAACAATATGTACAACAGAAGACAATTATTCAAATAAACTATGCTACAAAGAATCAAAAGTAAACACATAACTACATACAACTAAAAAGCAATATATATTGACATAGAAAGAGGTTCATCTTATTTTTAAGCTAAAAAGCAGGAGAAACCAGTATGCACAGAAAGCAACCTTAGGGTGTGTGGGTAGGTGGGGAACAAACCCAATAGTATGAAAGGCCAGAAGTGCTAACACCAAAGTATCTGTGGTGGTTATAGCTGGGTGGTAACAAAATGAATGCTCTCTATTATCTTTTTATCACTGCTTTCTAATTTCTTACAAATTACGATGCAAATACAATATCCAAAAAAATTTCTACTAAAAAAAAATCTAAGCAGTATCAAACACATGGGTAAGATCCAGAAGGGGAAGGGAGGAAACCCCAGCTGATTTGTAAAGATTTAGGAAACAATCGAGGTGTTAGAGAGAAATTGACAAGTAGTAACTGTGAAAGAAAATAGGAGGATTACAACTACTTACCGTACATACTCATGTATAACCTGGGTTTTTCAGCTCATTTTTCATGCAGTTTTTGTGGTAAAATTAGGTGCCTCAGCGGATATTTGAGTCGGCTTATACTCGAGTATATACAGTACCTGTGCAGCTTCACTATATACCATGTCAGCCAGCAAGAATATCCACCAAGGCACCTAATTTTATCACAAAAACTGCATTAAAAATGTGCTGGACACCAGCCTACCCCGACACGAATGCTGAAGACAAAGCGGGTACATAAGCAAATGCGGGGAAGAAAGCTGATGGTGCCAAGCTTTCAAATTACACAGAATCTGGGGTCCCACATGCTGGAAGATAAACAAGGGGCCATCTAACTGAGAAACAACAAAGCCCACATGGAAGAAGCACACCAGCCTGTAAGATGACAAGGCGGCGAAGGGGTCAGGTATCAGGCATCAAAGACCAAAAAAAAAGTCCTAACATTGTGAATGAGGGGGAGTGCAGAGTGGGGACCCAGGGCCCATCTGGGGGAAATTGGACATCCCCTTGCAGAAGGGCTGCGGGGAGGAAAGGAGCAAATCAGAGTGCAGTGTAGTAACGATGAAATATGCAATTTTCCTCTAGTTCTTAAATGCTTCCTCCCCCCCACTACCATGATCCCAATTCTACCTTACATATCCGGCTGGACCAGAGGATGTACACTGGCACAGATAGGAACTGGAAATACAGTGAACCCAGGACAGATGAACCCCCCAGGACCAGTGGACAGAGTGGCGATAGCGGGAGGGTGAAGGGAAGGTGAGGGAGAAAGGGGGAACAGATGACAAGGTCTACATATGGCCTCCTCCCTGGGGGACGGACAGCAGAGAAATGGGTGAGGGAGACGTTGGATGGGGTAAGATATGATAAAATAATAATAATTTATAAATTATCAAGGATTCAGGGGGAGGGGGTGGCGGGGGAAAATGAGCTGACACCAAGGGCTCAAGTGGAAAGCAGGTGTTGTGAGAATGATGAAGTCAACATATGTACTCATGTGCTGGACACAAATGACGTATGTACGGATTGTGATGAGTTGTATGAGCCCCTAATAAAATGATTATTTAATTTAAAAAAATGTGCTAGAAAGTTTGGCTTATACTTGAGTATATACAGTAAATATATAAGGTAAAGTAAACATGTTCTCAATTTGGAAAAAGCTCATAGGGCTTCAGGAAGAATAAATGAGTGGAATAAACGGAGATGAAAAGACATGCAGGCATAAGACCCTTTATGAGTTGAACAAGAAACAATGCTAGTGAAGTTTAGCTGTAAAGAACAGTTACTTTTACTCTGAAAGTAACACTTATTTTTATTCTGAAAAGAAACACAATGATACCAAGACTGGGGTAAGAAAAATTCTAATAAGTGGACACAATGTTCTCATAAAGTAGAATTGGAGAATTTAGAAAAGCTAAGGAATGAGACAGGAGGTTAGGGGAAAGAAGAGTAAACATTTATCACAATATAATAATACGGATGGAATACTTACGCAAAGGATTTTGTCCTTCACTTGCATAATATTCATACATGCCACTTTTAACCAGCGTGTCATAGTGAGGTAGAAAGTCAATCCGCTCTTTTGTAGCCGAGAGTAGTAACTGATTGACTGACCGTAGCAAGTACAGAGTGACTCCATCTTTAACAGTTTCATCTGCAACCAAGAGGTAAATTTCTAAGTGCTAGGCTAGCATCAGAAGCTCACATACAATTTCGGAAATTGTACCTAAGAAATATCTTTAAAGACAGTAAAGGCAAATCCAGAACAATGAAGTTACCTACAAAATCTGTTGTGTTTTGCTAATGATATCATGGAACAGGCCCAAACATAATGCATTCATCTGAAACACTCAATTCTTAATAAATAAAACTATTACAACAAATCAGATGAGGATTAAGAATAGCGTGTATTAACATGAATGGAGAAGACTGGTTAAATTAAACAGAAATTAGGCATGAAAACCTAGCAGATCTTTGTAATAATCACCTTCTGCAAATGATATATAAATGATAAAATAGATAATATAACCAATATAATTTCCCCCATAATCTGACTTGAAATACATGAACTTTGAACAATATGCAGTTTCTTCCTCCAACTCAACAATCAAAAACCAAAATCATCAATAATTTAAACACAGATGTGTAATGATTACTACCCTACCATGTATTAGGACTAATTAAAATATGGGTGTGAACTTAATAACACTGTTTACTTACCAAAATTATCACAATTAATTTCTTTCCTACTTGTTGTTGTAATAACAAACTTCTCTTCTGGTGAAATGCCAAGTGTCTATCCAAAATAAGAGAAATAAAATCAATTGTCATGCAATGGAGATAGTCACTACTTATATTTACAAGACTATAAAATCATAAATAGTATATTATAATCTTACTCTATTATTCCTTTGAACAACTTATAGCATAAATCTATATGATCTTTTGTTTAATTTGGTTTTTCTGATACTACAGGGGGCTTCAGAAAGTTCCTGAAAAAAATCCCATTTATAATCTTAGGATAGGGGTAGGAGTGGAATCTGGAAACGAGAGGAAGTAGATTAAGTGACATTACATTGATGAGATTGCAGTGAATGAGAGGAAACAAATTGTATGCAAATTGTTAAATGCAAAATTAAGATCTGCTCTAGAAACTTTCATCTAATTATTGGTAAAAAGTTTAAGGGGAACAAAAGATCTTTGTGCGGTGTTTTTTGACAGCCATTGAGCCCAAAGCTTGCTGAGGCCTATGTGTGCACCCTAAATCCAAAAGAGGAAATGGTATCAGAGCTTAAATTGTGAACACCTGGTTTACAGAAGGTTGTTTGGAGAGTCCAAACATGAATTAAATCTCTGGTGAATCCCCTCCAATCATAGTTGAGGGATGTGAACAGCCTTGTTATTAGACAGGGCTATCTACAATCCATTGTAAAGTGGATTATGGCAGACATAGTTAGGTCAAAATGTCGTATCTTATCATTTGAACTCACCTTTGACGGATAATTTTACCACCAACATCATATTTTCCAACTACTGATCCTTTTTTGTTTCCAACTTTCCCATTCTAATCATTAGTAATTATAAATGTACCTGTGTTGCATATTTGATCAATTTCAGATTTTAAAAAGTAAAAATCTTCTATTTCTTCATCTTTTACAAGAATAATTGGTGTATAATGTTGAGTACCATATATGCTCGAGTATAAGCTGACCTGAATATCAGCCAAGGCACTTAATTTTACCACAAAACTGCATTTAAAATGTGCTGAAAAACTTGGCTTATACTCAAATATATACGGTAAGTCCTATGAAGTGGTCTTTCTTTCAGGATTGTCAGTATTATCCTACCACAGACAGCAGCAGACTTCAGGATAGACCTTAAAATATTCTTTATGACGATCAATGACAGAATTCCTCTTCACTATGTCATTCCCTGCGCAGTGCTGGTGGTAAAATTATCCATCAAAGGTGAGATCAAATGATAAGATACTACATTTCTTGCCATCTAGTCAGTCCAGACACATAGGAATCCTAGTACAACAAAGGAAACACTGTTTGAACCTGCACCATCCTCACAATTGTTATGGCGCAGCCACTCAAGCCACCTCAGTGAGGGTCGGTCTTCCTCTTTTCCACTGACTTTGTACTTGACCAAATATGATGTCCTTTTAAGAGATTGGTCTTCTCTGATAACACATCCAAAGAATATCCTCACTTCTAAAGAGTATTCCGGCAGTATTTCATCCAAGTTGTTTCTTCATCTGACAATTCGTGGATCTTCAGGTATACTTCTCCAGCACCGCAGTTCAAAAACATCGATTCTTCTCCAATCTTCCTTATTCATTTTCCAATTTTCTTTCTTTTTTTTTTTTTAATTAAACAAGTCTTTATTTTACACCAGAGGCGAAATGAACCTACATTGTTAAGGTGCAATGTGAGCCTTTTGGAAATGTCCCACCTGCAGCGGTCACTGTCGCTGTCCATGGCTCTGGGAGCAGTCATTCTTGCTCGTCCAGAAGAAGAGTCGGAGAGCGGTGAGGGGCACCCCTTCTGGAACTAGCCTGCCTGGGTTCGAATAGAGGCGCTGCCTGTGTGACCTTAGACAAGTGTGACTCAACCACTCTGGGTAAAATTGTTTCCCCATCCACGAAACGGGGTTGATAGCAACAGTACCTCCTATCTCAGTGCACTGGGTTCAGAAGCCCAACATGTTTATAACAATGTCTGGCGCGTGGTAAGCACTGGCGAAGTGTCAGCTGTTAGGGCTGTGGTGGGAGAGTGCCAAAGAGATCAGAGGCGTGCTACTCTGCGCAGGGCCATCTTGGACTACTTCTTTTCCCTAACCAGAGCTTTGGTAAGTTTGCGGAGAGGAGCAGTGGTGTGGCTCTTTGGCACTGTTGATCAGACATAAGCACCAGCAGCTTACCACCATCACCACCCCCACCCCTCCCACACACAGCCCTCCAGAGAGGGGAAGATGAGAGATTAGACTTCTTATCCACAGCCTTGGCAAGTCCGCAGGAACTATAGTGGGTCTCAGCTTTAGCCCCAACCTCACCCAAAACACCCGGGGTCTCTCCCCTCAGGGTTCTGCCTCATGCCACTTCCCTGCTCTCCACCCTCAACTGTCCTCCTTTTCCTACTTAACTCCTACCTGTCCTCAAGACGAGGGCCAGGACCAAGGAACAGCAAGAGACACTCCTGGGGAAGAAAACTGAAGGAGACCCTCACTTCTCGGGGCTTGGAACTCCCTTGGATGTCACTTCCTCCAAGAAGCCTACTCTGAACTCCACCCATCCCAGTCTCCCCAGACGCCCCTGAATGCTCTCCAGGGCGGCTTCCTGTTGACCCACCTGGCTGGGACCTTCATTACTATCATCATGCCATTATCATCATGCCTTTTCTCCCGGCAGAGCCTCCACTTGCTGAGCACATTGAAGGTGCCCAATGTTGCATGAATATTCTAGAGGAAACGCTGAGCCTGGCAAAAGTCAGGTCATACACTAATCAGCCAGGTAGGGTAAATCGGTCTAGATAAGAGAGGCGAAGAATGTCATTTTCCAATTTTCACAGGCATATGAGATTAAAAATGCCAATGTACATCTTGGTCCACAAAGTTATGGCATCTTTGCTCCTTAACACTTAAAAAAAGCTTATTCTGATATCCCTGCTCAGAGCAGCCAATGCACAGAGAAGACCATATGGCCGGCCCCACTACGAGACACGATATCCTTCACTAACCCATAGCCTTACAGGGGACAACAGTGGAGACACAGTATGGTAACTGCCCAATCTGACCCCACCACACTGAAGCAAATCACCAAGGGTGTGCAACAGAACAGCAAGGGGAACCAAGCAACGAAGTCCCAAGGGAATACCAAAAATAGACTTTGGGGCCAGTGGGGTGGCATCCCAATAGACTCCACTGGAAAACACTCCTAGAGGTCAACAAACAGGACCTTGAGCTATTTACAGGCTTTTCTCTTTTTTTTGGTCATTGGTTTTTCTTTTCTTTTGTTGCTTTGTTTTTGCTCCTTGTTTTTGTGCATGTTATTATCTCTGCACGTCTATCTAGATAAGATGGGCAGTTCTTTGGAACTGACACGGATGTGGACCTCTTCCAGTCAGCTGGCCAAGTATGCTGTCTCTACCAAATTCTTGGTAAAGAGTAATGTGTTTCTAATGTTGCATAACACATTACTCTTTACCAAGAATTTGGTAGATAAATTAAAATAATATATCAAATTGTATCAACTGGTGTTCCTTATAGAAATATAGATATTATCTGATCAGAGCATTCTATTTCAAAATAGATCTTGAAGCTTTTTTAATGAAAAATGTAATGCCAATGCTCTTTGTCAGTACCAGCCTAGTAAATCATGTAACTTGCCAATCCAAAATTGCTAGCACCATTTCATTTCAGCTCACTTTCTAAAACAGATTTTTTTGCATTTCATCAACATTTCATATAAATTAAATGTTTTGCTCATCTAAAAACTTTACCCCTCCAAAAATGAATGACAAGCTACAGAACTAGGAGAATATCTTCAGAAACCATACATCCAATAAAAATCTATTACCCCATATATTCTAAAACAAGAAAGAAACAAATAATCTAACAAAGAGACAAAGAACTTAAATAGATATTGCAACAAACAGGACATTCAAATGTCACTTGTGTTAGACAGGGTTCTCTAGAGAGATAAAACCAAATTTCTGATAATTTAATATATTTATTTATAAAGATAATTAAATATATAACGAGAAATGAACTGTTAAATCACATACAGATAAATATATAATACAAGAAATAAACAGTTAAATTATAAAGCACTACAAATGGCTCAATGCAACTCACATCCATGAGACAAAGTTGTGAGAGACTAATAGTCCTTCAAGTCTTGTCTGCTGCCAGATCTTCCTCTATTTATAGAGAGAGCTAAGCTATGTCAGCACAGCAGCCAGTCACAAGTCAGGTCACCAACTGCCAGTCCCCAGCTCCAGAGATGTCTTAAAGGGACCTCAACTTACAGCGACACAGTCCACAGGCTAGGCATCCCACAGGTAGTGTAGCCTTTAAATTGAGGCACAGGACAAGCAAGGCAGCCGCACAATGGTCCATGATCAAAGAGTGAGAGACAAGAAAGGCGAGACTCACCAAGCCATTTATCTCTCTGCCCTTCAGTGAATCCCACTTGTGTTTATCGGCCAGGCTGGCACAATAAACTATCTCATCACTCTATACAATGAAAAAGATCCTCCACATCATTAAGGATCAGATAACTGAAAAAAACAGAAAGGGAAAGTATTTCACTCCTACTAAGATGGCTAAAAGAAACAAAGCAAACCAGAAAAGAACAAATGGTAATAATGTGTGGAAACTGGAAACATGATCAAAGTGCAAAATGATACATCTTTGTGGAAAAGTGTAGCAATTCCTCAAAAAAAAATTAAAACCTATCCTACCAACCAACATCAACTCACTGCCATCCAGCCAATTCCAACCCTACAGGACAGACTAGAACTGTTCCCTAGGGTTCCTAAGGACACAGGAGAGGGGGAGGCAGGGAAAAGGAACAGGGGTGCCAACAAACACAAACCCAAGGGAACAAGTGATCAAAAATCGATGGCTTGAAACCAAAATGAAGGCCAAACATGATAGTGGGGCAAGAGGAAAGGACAAGGAAATAGAGGAAAGAACTAGGAGGCAAAGGACATTATAGAGGTATAAATATAGGCATGTACATATATAAATATATTTATATATAATAGGGAAATAGATTCATGTACATATATTTATATCTAAGTATTAAGGTAGCAGATGGACATTGGACTTGAGTACTCCCTCAACATAAGAACACTTTGTTCTAATAACCTGGCATTCCGTGATGCTCACCTTTCCTCAAATGTGGTGAAGAAAGCTGAAGGTACCTGGCTATCAAAAGATATAGAGTCTGGGGTGTTAAAGGCTTGAAGATAAACAAGCAGCCATCTAGATGAGAAGCAACAAAGTCCACATCAAAGAAGCACACCAGCTTGTGTGATTATGAGCTGTCGATGGGATCAGGTATCAGGCATCAAAGACCCAGAACAAAAAAATCATATCAATGTGAAAGGGGAGGGGGGGCAGAGCAAAGACCCAAAGCCCATCTGTAGACAGCTGGACACCCCCTTTCAGAAGGGTCACAAGGAAGAGACAAGCTAGTCAGGGTGTAGTATGGCAACGACCAAAAGCCCATCTGTAGACAGCTGGACACCCCCTTTCAGAAGGGTCACAAGGAAGAGACGAGCTAGTCAGGGTGTAGTATGGCAACAGTGAAACATATAACATTCTTCTAGTTCTTAATGCTTCCTCCCCAACACTATCATGACTCCAATTCTACCTTACAAATAAGTCTAGACCAGAGCATGTACACTGGGACAAATAAGAGCTGGAAACACAGGGAATCCAGGACAGATAAACCCTTCAGGACCAATAATGAGAGTAGTAATACCAGGAGGATAAAGGGAATGTGGGGGGAGAAAGGGAGAACTGATCACAATGATCTACATATAACCCCCTCCCAGGAGGATGGACAACAGAAAAGAGGGTGAGGGGAGACACTGGTCAGTTTAAGACATGAAAAAATTAAATTATCAAGAGTTCATGAGGGAGGGAGGGTGGGGAACAGAGGGGGAAAAAATGAGGAGCTGATACCAAGGGCTCAAGCAGAAAGAAAATGTTTTGAAAATGATGATGGTAACAAAGTAGGTGTGGATTGTGATAAGGGCAGTACAAGCCCCCAATAAAATGATTTTAAAAAGACATTATGCTGAGTGTTATATGCTGATCACAAAAAGACAAATATTGTAGTGACTTCACTTATAATGCACTGAGACTATCATTTATTCATAGCTACCAGAGAAAGAAGGAAAAGGGACTTATTGTTTAAGCAACATTGAGTTTAAAGTGATGAAAAGTCCACAGTGATTAAGAGCAAAAGGCTCGATAGCTGATTATTTCAGTTTACAGTTGTACCTGTAACAAGGTTGAATTAGCAATTGTTATGAGATTTATTTCCTCCTCCTCCTCCAACAACAACAAAAAGATCATATGCTGAAGACAACCAAATATCTCATGGGGTTGGGTCCTTGGTTTCAGAGAGTTGGGGTCATGGTTTCATGGGACATTTCAGTTCGTTGGTCTAGTATCTATTCTACCTCCTAGTTTGGTGCATAGTATTTGGGATCTTAAATGTTTGAAGTAGCCCATCTCTATGTGCTCTGAGCCATAGAGGAAGAAGTCAGGCAGGACTACGCGAAGTAAACTCCAAGTGTAGTTAATTGCCTCCAGGAACAAGACTCTGCTTGGAGACACAGCTGGGCACACTGACAACTGTTGAAAATTTTAGTCAAAGATTCTGTAAAGAAATCCTGATCAGAGGTGGGGAAATTCAGAACAGAATTCCAAATTCTCATAGCTTCCAGAATTTCTAGAGCCAGATGAACCCCTGGAACTATTGCCCCGAGATAATCTTTAAACCTCCAACCAAAAATATCTTCTGAAGTCTTCTTACTGAAGCCTAACTACAATTAAGCTTAATTAGTAAATAATCTCCACCTTGGACACTGTGTTCTTTTAAGAATGATCTACATGGAATCAATTTGACAGGAATGAAAGGTTACATAGGAAGCTTAGGAGCAAAAAAAAAAGGAAGCTTAGCGACTGGGGAATTTGTTAATTGGAATGGGAGCATGAGAATGGCTGCACAACTTGAAAAATGTAATCACTGTCACTCAGTTGTACAGGTAAAAATTGCTGGACTGGTGTAAGTTCTGCTGCATATGTTTTCAACAATAACAAAAATAAGCTTAAAAGAATTTGTAAACATTAAAAACAAAGAATTTTCTTTCGATGAAATGATTTACCTATAAAACTGAACAAAAAGAACAAGTGTATTTCTTTAAAATACATGGGAATGTGCTACATACAGGTACAACAATGAACTTGAGAGTTGATGCGTTTTTCTCTTTATTCATTTACCTATTCTAATTCGGATGTTTCTTAAGTACCAGGCTCAGTTTTAGCCACTGGAAATACACTTGCACGCACAATAACAACTTTTATTAAACGAATGTTAGTTTTCATTATTTCACCAACTGCACGGAAATATGTCTCTAGCCTACTTATACAGTGGGCATGATGGGTTTTCTTCAGTGTTCCACAGTAAACATGCTAACTCTTGCCTCACGGATTAGGGTTCACAAAACAAGCACAGCCTCTTCTGGGTCGCAAACTTGAGCAAGTGTTGTCACTCCGGAAGGACCCTGGCTCGGCACCTTGCCGACAACACAACCTAGTTCCATTACAGCAGCGTTTAATAAGACGAACACCCCGGTGCCAAGGATGCACAACTAAGCAGCACACCACCCACAACACAGGCTTCAAATATAACTGCTGGTTTCACAAGTCCGACTCGAGGCAGACACAAGTGGTTTGCCCACCGGAAGGTGAACTGCACAGCCCTGCTCTCAAAAGTGGGCCGCAAGACTTAAACGCGCAAGCACGGAGCGGAGCAGCTCCGCGCGGGTTGGGCGCGAGCCTGCCTGCCGCCGGTTCCGGGCCTGTGAGAAGCCCAGGTTCGGCTCGCGCCGGAGCCGGGCATCAGCACCAGCCCCGGCTGACAGGTTTATTGCCCTCAGTCAGCCCCCGGGGCTTCTCGTCACCCACCGGCCACCTCCCCGCGCGTCCCGCCGCCGCCCGCATCCTTACCTGACACACGCGCGCGCGGAAACCGGAGTAGTCCGCGCTTTCCCCGATCTGCAGCGCCCGCTCCCCGGGCTCCGACTCCTTCTCGCGCCGGTCAAACAAATACAAGGTCTTGCAGCCG